GACTTTTAGACATTACATTTTATCATTTCTATGCTTCTATTGAGTATCATCTCGCTGTCATTTAAAAAATTAATCATGTATTAGAGGACTCTAACCACATGTTTTCAAAAGAATGCCTGTGGGGGAAAATTACTCCCTGTAAATAGAATTAGATCTAATTCATATCTTAAAAAGGTCAATATATTTACAGAATGTGCATATACATCTTAAACACAGTTACCAAGTAGTTTCTTTTAACTTTATGGAGAATTATAACAGAAGGCAAATATCCACCGACAGAATCAAAGTAACAGTATTGCCTTCCATGCCAAATTTAGACATTTTTAGTGGCATGCAGTTCCTTTCTGGTCTAGAGCAAGGTGACGAATTGAGTTGTTGAAGGGTAGAGAAGTTAAGAACAACTGTAGACTCAGTTTAACTGGGTACTCGAAAGCAGGATGAAACTGCTCTGGTTTATTTTTGTATACTTTATTTAATCTTTTTCACTAGCTAGAGTTCAATTTTAAACACCATTTACAAACTACATTCAGGTTCTAGCATACTAACCTGAAATGTGTTGGAGAAAAAGAACTAAGAAGACAAATAGATGCATTTTTCTATTTGTCTTTTGACTTCACATTTCAGGATCAGACTTGATGTGCATTCCAGACTCAGGGTATAAGAAAAGCAAATTATCCATAGGCTTATTTTTAAAAGCCTCCTTTTGTTACGGCTGCTTAGGCTATTTTACTGATAGTGATAGTGATGTAATAGGAGGGCAGTAATAACTCCTGTAAATACCAATTTCCAAATGGTGTCTCTCTCTGTTCCAGCCCATCACAACAGTTTTAAAACCAGCTTTTGTTTTTGTTTTTGTTTTTGTTTTGTTGCTTTGTTTTGTTTTTTAACAGGAGAGCCAGTGTAACTCCTTCAAGACTGGAGTGACACACACTGCATCTGCATCTGCCTCATGTGAGTTCTCATTTTGGCAGCAGCACTCTGCTAGGCTGGAACCTCTGTAGAGGTTTGCCCTTCATTTTTCTAAAATCTGTAAACTACTACACAGTGTGTCTTGGTGGCAAAGGTAAAAAGTGCATGAGAATTCCAAACTTCCCTGCAGAAAGTTTGTGGCTCAATCCAAAGGAACTTTATCCTCTCACACAGATTCTATCTTGTGTGAATAGCGTGGACTCAAAACAGGGCCTACAGCTTTCATCCCCACAATATGCAGTTATTTTTTGAAGAGCTGATTTTTTCTTGCAGATTATGGAGTAAAGAATACCTTTAAACACTCTGAGTAGCCTCAACTTTCAAAGCATTGGTTGTTCTCTTTATAGTCTTGTTACATAACCAGAGAACACTGTGTGCTGTCCCAGTAGCTAAAGCAGTTCTCTCGTTTGGACGCTGGCCCTTAAAAAAACTTCCTTTGTCTTTGGATCTTGGGTAAGTTGGGATAGGCCCTGGGATCTTCTTGGGGAAGAAACAAGCAGTTAATGTGTGAGGTTATGTTTATTCTGAAGCTACTGGCTGCGTTTCGGAACCACAGAGAGTCATTAGTAAGAATTGAGCTTGAAGCTGTGCATTATTAACCTGGCACAATTTTATGAAAGAAATTGCAATGAGAGCCTTTGCAGCTTGGAGCAGCACATCGCTCTGCAGTCTGAGGTGGTATATATGATTCCCTGCACGTGTTTGAGGCTGGCTTTGAAGGGCCTGGTTGATTAAAGAAAGAATTTAGTTTTTTAATTTTTTTAAGGAATGGCGGTGCTTTGTAAGCTTCAAAAATTTTTCCTCCTAGGTCAGAATAAGTGTGTTTATTGCCAAGGGACACTTAGAATAAAACCTCTAAATTTATTCTCTGCACAGCTGCAGTTCTGACCTTCCAGCCATGGTTGCACTGTATGGAGCTTTAGCAGATGATTTAGTGACCTGGGAGTTCATGTTGCTGAAATAATTATCCGGGAAGCTTATGAGATAATGTCAATAGCTTGTAGGTCTTACTGATTAATATAGAGCTTGATGAAATAGATAGTGTTGCTAAAGTGGATCTTGGCCTCTCTTTGCTAAATCCATTCCCACCTATGACTGGACCAGTTTATTTTGGACTAGTTGGAAGAAATTGCAGGGAGAGTTAGTATGTTTCAACATCCAGGCTTAAGTTTTGAAAGCATATGTAATCTAGAAATGCATTTTTAGCAATGGTAATGTATCTCATGAAAAACAGCTTTAGATGAGACTCAGAAAAACCAAAATTCTGGCTTCAGCTGTTTGTACTTGCTATGTAACTTTGGGTTATCCAATGGGGAAGATACATCATAGTTTTAGGAAGAGCTCTGAACTGATTGAAAGAAAATTTAAAGACTTTATTTCTATAGGTGGAATTCCCAGAAAGTCACCTCAGTTGAACACTTGGGAAGTTCTGCCCTGAGAATAAATACAATGTGGCAAATGTATGAAAGTCTTCAAAACGTGTGTGGAAAATGTGTTATTGTAGGGGAAAAGAACTGCATGAATTTCAAAGAATTTGTGTACCAAAATAAACCTTTTAACTCCATTTTTCCATTACTTTTTGAAGTACCCTCATGTTGTATTTTATTTTCTGCTCTTGTGCTAGACAAGTAAGGATTTGAGATTTTTTCCTTGGTATTTTTTTCAACCAGAAATTCTGAATTAATTAATTAGAGCTTCAGTCTAAGTAAGTTGTATCGTAGACTAAAGTTTTGATTACCAGTTACTCCATTTCTCTGTAATTACCTGATTCACTAAGGGGAAATTGCTGACTTAGGGGTGAGCTTGGGTAGAGATAAAAATTTGTTTTTTTCATTCCCTGTTCTTAAGGCATTTCCAACAGATTATTCTTTGAAAGAATTAATTGAAAAAATTTTATGTGGGCCAGATCTGCTAGGAATGAGTACCAATAAATCACTTAAATTACCTACCTACAATTACTAGAAATGTAGCCACACTGAAATTTTATTTCATTAAATATTGTTTTAAAAAGTGAGGCTCTTGTTAGGACTGAGAAATATTTTTTGTTTTAAAAAAATTTGTTAAAATGGGATTTACTAGCAATTAGGGTGGGATCTCTGGGGTAGGAATAAAATAAGAGATGTTATTTTATACTCCAGTTTACAACAGTGGATGCCATGCCTTACTGGTTTTGAGGTCATACTAGCTCTTACTCTGTTAGTGTGTGTGAATATGTAGCACCTCTACATACATGTGGATGTCATATAGATTTAGAAATTCCACATTTAAGGCTTCAGCCATTTTTTTTAGGAGTTGAAGTGGGGAAGTTGGAGATGATGAGGCAGAAGTTGAGGGAAGGAAAAAAAATGTAGCCAGTTTTAAAAATGTTAGCTACAGTTAAATTACTCTTAGCCTCAGACAACAACAACAAAAAAACAAAGATGGCTTCTTTGGGCATTGGTCCGTGGAAGTGGAGTTTAGGCAACTCCTAAAGGACCTTAAAAATTGTAGACTTCTGTTTCTTGAATCTGACAAATGTATATTAAACTATTTGAAAGTTCAGCTTACTTTTTTAAAATCTTAATTTGATTTAGAAAAAGTAGATGAATTAGTATGTTACAAGTTTTAATGGAATAGAAGGGAGGGATACCTTAAGTTCTCCTTCCTTTCCCTGTCCCAGCCACTCAATTCCTTTCTTTGGGACTTTGACCCATTTCTACAAATATCCTAAAGGATTGCCTTTGGAAAGTTGAATCATACTCACTAAAATATTAGCACTAACTTGGATAAGCAGCCTAATTGCAGTGCAAAATCATTTTGAGCCATAGGCTAACAGAGTTAACGACAGATAGAAGAACTGTAATAATAATAGTTGTGTTATTATGATACTACAAAACAAGATATCTCAGGGGGCTTCAGAAAGTTCATGGTACATATTTCAAAAAATGTTTTGCACCAAAAATCTTACCTTTGAATTCCATTAAAAAAAAAAAAAAACTACTTTGAAGTACCCTCAGATATTTTTGCCTTATTTGATATTTAGCATGCTGGCTGTCTTTATTGTCTTTTTATTTTTATTTTTAATATGGCTTGCCCACTCCTAAATACTGATGGACAGATCCTTGTTTACCTAAATGTTTAATTTAGAACAACCCCATTGAAAGGAGCAGCATTTTCTTTGTGCTGAACTTCATTGGTAACTCTAAAAGGTTTTTTCATTATGGAAAACTTAAGACATACACAGTCATAGAGAAAAAACCCCAGAATCTGAAATCCATTATTTGACTTGTAGCAAACTCAATATGTTCCTTTGGTAGGTAAGGGGAAATGAATTTTTACACACACGTTTGCATGTACCTATCCTTGCCATATTCACATGTAATAAAATGATTCTTAATTCTTTCAGATCCAATTCTCAGTTCACATCCAGATTTCCCCACCTGTGATATGTCTTTTTATGATTTGTTTATATAATAACTTGTAAAATGCAGTTTTGATGGCTGTAACATTGTGAGGATTGTTTAGAAAACAAGTTAATCTAAAAAGTAAAATCAGTATGCTGATTAGAGAAAGAGAATAAAGCCAAATAGGAATTCAAAAAATAGTTTTTTAAATGCTCAGAAGGATTTTTACATTAATTATGAACATTAGTGAAGCTTTCTATATGTATAGCCCTCTCTTACCTAGTTTTCTGTTTACTTATAATCTTATGGTTAATATCATGGTTGTATACATTATTTTTTTCCTCCTTTAGATTGTGGGAATGAAAGAATAGATAAAAGGAAAAAGTGTTTAGAATCAGTTTCCTAATGAGGAACCATTCTGAAACGTTTGACAGTTTGTCTTGTTGCTGTTTCTCTTGCTATAATATGACCTATTTCCACAGACTAACAATTAGATTTTCTAATTACTTGGGTAATTTGAGGGAAAAGAAGATTTTTGGCAGATTGAGGAGGAGGGAGGAATTGGAGCAGAGTAGAAACTCATTAGTTTGCCTTCTCTTTTAATTGGTGTCCTTTATGCTGACTAATGAGAATCTCTTCTTTGTGCAGTGTACAAGTCCCCGGAGTATGAGTCTCTTGGCTTTGAACTTACTGTGGAGAGATTAGTTTCTATTGGCTATCCCCAGGAGCTGCTCAGCTTTGCTTATGATTCTACATTCCCTACCAGGTAATTTTAAAGATATCTTTAGATTAGTATCACTGCCCCTGTCCCTGAGATTAGTAATTCCAAATTTATCCCTGACCCCAAAAGTGCATCAAATAGGTCTTTGGGTTTTGGGGGTTGATTTCAATTCTAAAATTGCCATGAACATTTCCTTTATGTTGTATCATTTGTATTCATGAATTGAGCTCATTTTACTGCTATTGAAGAGGGCCCATTTATGTTTAAGACAAGGGATTTTATTAAATATGTTGGGCAGTGATCACAGACGTCTCGCCCATCCTACCTTTGGCTGTTGGAGAGCAGCTACATGTTTTGTTAATACACTTGGTAGTCAGAGCCTTCTTGGCAGTTTGCATTTCTGGATTTGATTTGAAGGATTAAAGATGAGGAAAGCTGATGCCTACATACAGCATCAAATAGTGGGAAATAGAAATTAGCAGAGTTGTCCAAGGAAATAAAGACACTGTTTTAGAATGGTACCAGCTGTATTAAGAATTACAGTTTCCACCTTGTTTGATTAAGCTGTTAAGCTCTTAGACCTTAAAGGAAGAAATTATGCTTGTCTAGACAAAGTAAAAATCTTTTAGTTGCTTGGGATTCATTTTTAAGATTTTGCTTACTTACTTTAACCTCTAAGGTTATGTTGTTTTGGGACATACCTGAGTTGTTGCAAAGCTTGAATTCGTTGAGGTTGATTCAGGGTGACTGAGTGGCAACACACACAGTTATTGCCTGTATTACTTTGCATTATTGACAGTATCTTCATTTCCATGTAGGGGACTTGTCTTTGACACCCTTTATGGAAATCTCTTGAAAGTTGATGCCTATGGAAACCTCTTAGTCTGTGCACATGGATTTAACTTCATAAGGGGGTGAGTACAAAGAGCCTTCAGCTTCTTTCTAGTTTCCTATAATCAAACAGAATGAAGATGACATTGTCTCTACAGCTCTAATATACATCAGTATTTTTTCATCATTAAAGAGCAATTCCTTTCCATAAAGATAGTTAACATTTATTTACTAGCCAGTTACAATCCAGAATGACTGTTTTGTTTAAATTCAGTCCCTTATAATTATACAGCATCCCACAAAACTAATCTTGAAACTTGCCCAAAAAGAACTGTAGTGGTTTTGGTTTACTTGAAATTCTAAGATTTTTATTTTCTCCTTTTTAATACAGTTCTCAGGTAGCTGCTCAGAAGAGGTACGTACATAAAAGTGCTTTAAAAAAGTTTGAACTACAGCAATTTAAATGACTAAGATTTTTAATAACTAATATATCATTTTTGTCAATGAAAAGTTTTAGACATTTGTGTGTTTAAAATTTTAAAAATTTAGGGATACAGAGTAATAATATTTAAAATAAATACAAGTATGTTTTATTTTTATAATCAGAATATTTACATTATTTTTATAATCAGAATATTTACATTATTATAATGTAAACAATATTTACATTATAAAAATTTACAATATTTACAACAGATAAAATTTAGTATCTACCACTTTTTTGAGTGAAACATCCTAAATTTTTCTTAAAAAAATTGCAGTTCCACAGTTTGACAACTTCTGTAATATAACTTTACAGTTATTTATCTTCTCTACTGTTATCTCTACTATTTTATTTACTGTTGGCACTGTAATATCAGAATAACTCTTCAAGTCAAAACAGGTTATATATCAGTCTTTTGTATAATTTTTCTATATAGTATTCATTCTTGATGGCAAAGTAGTAAAATCACCACAATTTCCATTGACATTGTTTAAAAAAAAAAAAAAACAGTGTCTTTTTGGCAAATATCTTTTGTGTTAAGAGGCACAAACCAACTGAAAATGTGCCAGCGCTTCCTTTAAATCTGAGGTCATAGGAATGCCCCCATTTAGAACTGGAGCAGCTGATATAAGACCCTTCAGCTGGCGTGACTGACATTACACAGCCTTACAGACGTCCAAGAATACAAAGGAGAGCAGTGTAAAACCCTTGTCACATCTGGGCTGGCTAGTACTTGAACCACTATTCTTTCATTGCTTTTCTCTTCAGAGGTTTGAGATCCATGAATATCAGAAAGCAGATTTAGAACGATCGCAGGTAGTACTAGTAACCTCATTTTGTTGGTTTGTTGTTGTTAATTTTGAATCCTAAGGAAGGCGAGCCAGAGTTCTATTTATATCTGAAAGAGTTTTTGTGTTATGGAAGGGTAGGCAGAGGAGAATAAGGAGGGGAAGCACTTCAGTAAATTAGTTCTACAATCAGATTTACTAGTTCAGGCTACACAAACCTCTCTCTCTTCTTTGCCCAAACAAGCCAGTGAAGTTTTCAAATAGCTACTTTGGAAACACATTTAAGAATGTTTCAAAAATGTTATGAATGTGGAAATACTTCAAAAAGTCACAGAAAAATGGGACTAAAAGATACATTTAGGGGATGGTGGTGAGGTGTAGCGGGATAAGCTGAGGCTTGTAAAGCTAGCATCCCATATCAGAATGGCAGTTTGAGTTCCAGTCGCTCCAGTTCCAATCCAGTTCCCTGCTAATGTGCCTGGGAAAGGATGGCCCAAGTACCTGGGCCCTTGCCACCCATGTGAGAGACCAGGATGGAATTCCTGGCACCCAGACCTGGCTGTTGTGGCCATCTGGGGAGTGAACCAGTGGATATGTCATATATCGCTCTCTGTCTCTCCTCTTTCCCTCCATCCTTCTTTTCCTCTGTGCTTTCCCTCTCTCTGTTGCTCTTTCAAATAAATAAATAAATAAATAAATTTTTGTTGTTGTTAAGAAGGCAAATGTACTTTGGCGTGAAATAGTTTGGAAGTCTCTGCATAATTTTTTCATAATATGCATTTTCACAGACTTTTTTGAAGATCCCTTGTATATGTAGATTTCAAAATTTTTCTGCACCAAAGTAAGCTTGTCTTTTAATTCTGTTTTCCACAAACTTTTTGAAATACACTGATAAATGTAGAATCAATCAAATAGCACTTAGCACTGTGTAGTCTTTAAGAGTCAAAATGAAAAGTTCCTGGAAAAGAGAAACTGAGAATGGAGGGAGAGAGGGAGAGTTACTGAAGTACGGTGGTGAGAGCCTGGAAGGAAACTTAGGGCTCCATCTGCCGTCGCCTTACATGATTTTCACTGAGTCGGGACCGCATTTTTCAGGCAGATCTTTATTCTGTGGATCTCGTAGAGTTAACAGTAATCTGTACTATAACTGTTTTCTTCCAGACTCCAAGTGTAGCATTTCTTCTTTTATGATACATTATCTCCCCAAATTGATTTTTATTTTAAATATATACTAGCATGATTTGACACTTAATTGAAGTGAAAAATAATTGTTAATTAAATAATTCCATCTAGGTTGTAATGTGATAGGAAGCCATCAATAATCTTTCTGTTGAGGAATTGCTCTTTGATGATGGAGGGAGTGGGAAAGTATGGTCCATCCCAGGAGACAGTATCATCTTACTAAGCCTGCCTGAGGAGAGGATATTGTTCCTATTCCTCCACTTTATTTTTCACTACAAAAATCTTGGAAGGCTAGAATATAAGATATTCTACTATGTTATTCTTTATTGGGAGCTCATTTCAGAAGAGTGACTAAGACAGGAAGCTAATGTGATTTTTATATGCCTAACTGGAGTTTTTATGTCATTTGTAGTTAATAAGTGCAAGCAAGAATATACCCAAGTCGTTCTTCATATGAACTTTAAATTTGGTTTATTCTATTTAGAGTCACTAATTTCTATATATTCATTGTGAGAATTGTACATTTTTATATTTTGGTCATCCGTTCTTTTAGTTTCTCAAAAACATTTTTGTTAATACTGTCTCCTTAAAGCGTGTCATTTCGCTCTCCAAGCTTCTCAGGCATCTGAACAACTGTCTGTTCACTGGCTTTAAACTTTAAACCTCAGATGTTCTCCATGGTTCTATTCTCAGTTTCTTCTTTTCCTTCTCTGCACTTTGTAAGTGGCCTCATGTAGTCTAATATTACCAGTGCATAAAAGATATTCTCTCAAGTCTGAATCTCTGTTTCAAATTCTTAACCTTGGTTTCTAATTGTCTGCTAAAAATGTGCTTGCTTCAAGCTAAGGGTAAGCAAAGTAGAACTCCCCTTATATCCACTTGTTCTGAAGTTTCCCTGGTTTTGTTAACGGTGCCAACCATCTCGCAGGGACACCCAGACATGAGCATCATCACCATCTGTCCTTCATCTGCTGCACCCAGTCAGTTCTCTGATGTTACTCATTCTACCTTGCATTCCCTATTAAATATGCTCTTTCCTTTAATTTCCTTTGCTGCCACTTTAAGACACTTTAAGTATTGGGGTACTGTTCAACCCCCAATAACTACCTCTCTGATTTCCCAGAACTTTGTTATCAGTTAGCTTTTACTGCATAGTAAATTACTTCAAAATCTAGCAGCTTAAAACAACGAATGTTTTATTTAGCTCAAAATTCTCAAAGTCAGCTGGGCAATTCAAGGGTTTCTCAGCTGATCTCTGAACCATTGCATGTGTCTATGGGCAGCTGGTGGGTCAGCTGGTAGCTGTTCTAGAATGGCCTCACTCACGTGTCTGGCAGTGGGCCAGGTACCTCATTTTTGCATGTAGCTTTTTATCTTCCAGCAGACTGGTTTACTCTGGTTCACATGGTAGTCTCAGGGTCCAAGTGCAGCAAGAGAGGGCAAAGCCCTTCAGTACGCAAGTGTTCTCCAAATCTCGGCATGGATCCTGTTGGCTGCTATTTACACTTACATTTGAGGATGCAGAAACAGACTGAGCCTATATTGGGAGAAGCTGCCACTGAAAAGGGTTAGAGAGTGGTTATTCTCAAACTACTAGTGATTTAATCCCTTACAGCTCAGTTCCGTGCAAAAAATCTATCAGTAGCACCTTCTTGTTCCTGAAAGAATTGTAAGAACAGCATGATCCACCTCAACCCCCATCTTTTTACTTTATTTTTCTGTGTTTCCTTTATTCAAATTGGACTAGTTTCTGAACTGGTTCACCTAACCATTAAGGCACAGATTGTAGGCGTGTCATACTTCATGAATCCTTTCTAGATTTTCCTCACAGCCATTTCTCTCTACCCCTTAAGGTGAAATGGTTTCTGTTGCTTCAGTTTTCTCACCGTCTTGTACCTTCCCTGTGATAGTTGGTTTTTTTTCACCTTGGTGCCATTGTGTGTGTGTGTGTGTGTGTGTGTGTGTGTGAGACGGAGCTCCCCTGCCAGCCTGAGAACCCTGAAGCTTGTTAGTGTCATAGCTACTTATGTTTGATACTTAGAACTCTGTCTTGCACATAGCTGTGAAACTGTTGGGATGCCTTTTTGAATAGTAAACATTTCCTGTAGTTATTAACCATGCTAATTTTTGAATGCCAGTTAATTTTAAAAATTTTCTTTCAGACCAGAAACTAGAGAGCAGTATCCAAATAAATTTATCCAACGAGATGACACTGAAAGATTTTACATTCTGAACACACTATTCAATCTACCAGGTAGACTCATTCTATGCTTATATAAATAAGATGCTTTCCCTTCTTTCCATGACCATAGCCTTTGCCCAAGGGAGATCATGAGCTTGAATTATTTTGCTTATACCTTATGAATATCTATTCTTCATTTTTCAGAGACCTACCTGTTGGCCTGCCTAGTAGATTTTTTTACTAATTGTCCCAGATATACCAGGTATGTATATATTGTAATTTTCTTTTTCCAGTTGATTTTTAAAATTAATGTACAGGGTTTTAGAGAACTGGCCATTGTAGGTCTTTTCTGCTTTTCTGAAGTGAATTTAGTGCTAGTGAGAGATGCCACATTGCCAGCCTGCGAGATGGGACAGCACCAGCAGCTCCATGCAGGCTCTCACCTCCCACACGGCCCCTCTCCTTGCCAGTGTGCTGCAGCCATGTTTGGAAGGGATCACTTCTGATTGGCTTCTCCTGGGAATGAAGACGGCCAGCAGAGGTGCTAATTGTGACAACTGAGTGGGAGGTTTGTGTGATGATTATCTGTCTGAGCAGAATTACACTAAAACCCCCCAACTCATTTCACAGCAGCTACCCAGGAGCCACGCAGGGGCAGTCATTTAGTTTCACTCCCAGACCCAGCAAAATTTGATGAGTAAATACTGTTTTTCTTCCCTGAAGTAAAGTTTTGCTTTAGTCCTGAACACATTGTCTTCTTCTTTTAGGGAGATTAATATAGCCATTGCTGAAAGTTCAGCCCTATATGCCAGAGTTTGCTAACATCTTATCCTCTTTAGGTCTTACCTACTGCAAGACATTTTAAATCGGGTGGAAATCTGAGTCACTAAGCTAAAGAGAAAATAGACAGTACCTTTGTTCCTGGGGATGATGTCAGGAAAGTCAGGGTGGAAAGAACCTAAATGACCAATTTTAAGTTTTAAATGTTTCTTCAGTGAGAACCTTTTTCTAAAAAGTGATGAGTAAAAGAACCCAATATTTTGGAAACTTTGGCCTTTTAGCCTCCATTCAGTATATTCTGTCACTTTGTACCTGTTCACAATTTTTTTATTCTGTTGAACACTAAGGCCATTTTTGGTGGTCAAAAAATTGTTTTTTATTAGGAATCATTATTTTCCTAATTAGCCCAGTGTATACCCATGTGATATGGAGCCTTTGGGTCCCCTGAGCAGTTTCTGATATTCATTTTATATCCTCTCTTTTGGATCCCCTGTCACATTCTTTTCATCTTTCTGTAGCTGTGAAACAGGATTTAAAGATGGGGACCTTTTCATGTCCTACCGGAGTATGTTCCAGGACGTCAGAGACGCTGTGGACTGGGTCCATTACAAGGTACACAAAAACTGCTGCTTCATTTGCTCACCCTATGGCATGTGTTTGATGGTCTGACATCAGCTTTGCAAATGAAACAGAATTTTGTTTACAGTTTTAAAAAATGGATTGGCCCCTAGTGATAGAACACATTTGTTTTGGTCTTTGGCAGTCCTGCTCTCACAGGATCTTTCCTCAGTGATGATGTTTGCTTTACAGATTTTATCTTGGTTTTTATTTCCCAAACTTACTTAGAAAAGATTGTCGTATATTAGATCATACTTAGCATATCCTTCATGGATGATTGTGGTCCATATTTTTATCCAAATATCTCCCACTTGACTGATAACATGAGTTAATATCAAATTTACATTTACTATAAACTGTACTGAGTAAAACATTAAATGCCTTTAATATCTGCTTTAAAATAAATATATTAAATATAAATATTTATATAAAATATATTTATATACATATTATATATTTTATATTTATATATTTATATAAATAAATATATTTATATATTTTGAAGACACACTTTGGAGGTAGAGTTGAGCCTCCTGGTCATAACCTGACAGTTTTCCCTGGCGTTCTCTAGCATTGCTTTCCATTTCTTGGTAAATTGTAAGAGAGATACTCGAGTTGATAAATACTTTTCCTTACACACTGTTAAGATCGATTTTGTTCTTTTCTTAGTTCCCTTTTTGTTCTTCCCCTAGGGCTCCCTTAAGGAAAAGACAGTTGAAAATCTTGAGAAGTATGTAGTCAAAGATGTAAGTAATAACGGGGGAGATAGGTCTGCATGATGGCTTATTTTACCTATTAAGGAAGTGAATGACATGTGTACTTCTAATGGAAAGGACAATGGATTATACCTGTATATGCCAGGTATAATCACCTGAGTTTTCAGCTAGAGCTGAATTTTACTAGAGATTTTCTTCTTTGTTGATAAGCAAGAAGACCAGTATTTTATTTGTCCGTATAGCTTTAATTTTAATAATAGCAGCTAGAGGGTTACTGTGTTTGTGTCACAGTGCCAGGTGAGTACGTGTATTTATACCACTTGCTCTTCCTAATAGCCTTGAGTTAGGTCTTACTATTACCTGCATTTTTATAAATGAAGAAACTGGGGAATACAGGGATTAAATAACTTTCCCAAAATCACCCAACTAATTAAGTCAAAAAGCCAAAATTCACACCCAGATCTAACTTAAATCATAACCATTGCACTAGGTCAATGCACTAGTGTGCATACACAAGTATGTGACTTACTTTATGGTGCTTTATCAACAGGGAATAATGAAGAAAGCTTTCAAATAAATATCTTAAAAGATATTAGTGGAGAACCTGATAAGATTTAAAAATCTGTGTAGTTTCATTAATAGTATTTTCCTAATGTTAATTTCTTTGTTTTGATGATTATACTGTGGGTAAAAAAGATGTTAATGTTAAGGGAAGCTAGATGAGGAATATGTGAGGAATTTTGGTACTATTTTCACAACTTCTCTGCAAAGTGGCAGAATACAGCATTCCAGGACTGTGGTAAGAACATGAATTTCATCCTTTGTACATCCTGTTCCTACCCACCCCATGTACTGTTTCGAGAAAGAACACTGGATGGGGAAGGACCAGGAGAAACTTGTTTGAAGGAACCTATTTACTGTAGAAGAAGGAAAAGGCGTTTTTCTTTCCAGGCACATCACAAATTATGACTTCCAATATCTGCAGTGGGACGTGGGCATTTCAAGGTTGTATTTGCACATTATTTCAACCTGTAAGGTGTTTTATGAATCTATAACATATACATTGAAGGCAAGTTTGATAATCTCTATATAGAGCATTTGCTGGTGATGTTTAAAATCAGCTTCTCTTGACCTAACACACCTAACTTGTGTACTTCAAGAAATCACAAGATAAACATGTCTTCCTGACACAGACATCAAGAAAAAGGTATAGATATGTTAACTATATAAATCTTTGTATTTTACATAGAAAATTTTTTAGCCCTAAAATATTTGTGTATTTTACATACAAACCTATTATACACACACATATGCCATAATCTGTTATTACTTTAATCAAGCATAGGTAATAATGTGGGCTTTTAAGTGCAAGATTCTGAAACCAACCAACTAATCCTTAAGAGACTTATCCTGTTCCTATTTTAGTGGACAAAAATCCAGTGTATGACCATCCCAAAGTAGAAATATGAAAGTATTTGCATTGTAGTGTTTCACTTGTTATCCTGTTACATTTCAGGGAAAACTGCCTTTGCTTCTGAGCCGAATGAAGGAAGTAGGGAAAGTATTTCTTGCCACAAACAGTGACTATAAATACACAGATGTAAGTGCTAAATATTAATAGTCTTTATTTGTACAAATTATTTTGACCTAAAGAACTGTCAAGATAACAGAAATTTATTGAGATGTAGGTGCTTGCTGTCTTATTTGGAAAGTTACTACATAGTTGATAAGGGCTAAACAGAGTGGTTCTCAGATTTTTCTTAATGCTCTTTAGACTCTTCCCTGCTCACAGCTTGCTGTTTGAAAGGTTTAGTTCAGGGGTTATGTAGAGGAACACTTGTGCTGATTAAAATGCCTCCTGTATCTTTTTGGAGCATCTTCTCTATCATGTAGACTTGAGAACTCCCACCCATTACTTTCTGAATTTTCATGCTGTTAGAAGCCGTATAGCAGTAGATGGTGCATATTTTGAATCTTAGCCATTAAAAATTTACGATCTTTTGGCTAAAAAAATGTTTTTGCCATAATTATTGCATATGGAAAGATTGATTTAACTCCTTAACTTCATCTTACTTCTTCTGATACAGTTACAGATTTATGGGATTAGCATAAAGTTCCATTTCCCTCAATTCTCTTTACATAAAACCTTATTTAGACATCTGGTAATGTGGACTCACCAGTCCTGCTTGGTCAGTATCAAGCAATAACAAAGCCAAGGTACTAAGTGATTTCCATGACTCGCTGCTTATGCATCAGTCTCCTAGGAGAAGCATGTATCTTTCCAGAGAATGTCAGGAGGATTTTTTTGTTTGTTTGGCAAAGCATTAATTTCTGGCCTCAAGTTCCATAATCTTATACTTCAGAGGAAAGAAGACTATAGTGAATCCTGTGTTGAAAAGGATATATTTTATTAAAAAGCATGCAAGTGGTATATGTGTATTTAAGACATCATGTATATTTTTCAAAGGTAGTATGTGGATCTTATGTTGAATTTTCTTTTCCAGAAAATTATGACATACCTGTTTGATTTCCCACATGGCCCCAAGGTACTATATGTAACTTATTAGACCATTGATTTAGTAATAATTACTCCATTTAATAATTCTAGAATATTGAGGGGAAGGAATTGGTCGGAAGTAATTCAGAAAAGTCCTTTTTAAGCCAATTGTCTAATTGTACATTAGAAGTAATTCAAGAGCCAGAATCTAAACTTTGAATTGTAGAAGTAAAAGGAGTATTCATGTGGTATTTATTAGGATGGTATCAGACCAGTAAATTCTATGCAGAATTGTGGCATTGAAGGGAATTTTGAGGTTGAAGAAGATATTTTTTTTAATTTATCTTTTTATTTTACAGATAGACAGTGAGAGAGAGAGATAGAAAGGTCTTCCTTCTGTTGGTTCACCCCCTAAATGGCCGCCACAGCCAGCGCTGCGCTGATCTGAAGCCAGGAGCCAGGTGCTTCCTCCTGGTCTCCCATGCGGGTGCAGGGCCCAAGCAGTTGGGCCATCTTCCACTGCCCTCCTGGGCGACAGCAGAGAGCTGGACTGGAAGAGGAATAACCGGGACTAGAACCTGGCTCCCGTATGGGATGCCGGCGCCACTGGTGGAGGATTAACCAAGTGAGCCATGGTGCCGGCCCCAGAAGATCCATTCTTAACAACTCTAGATTGTGCAATTAGTTGTTGCTGAGTGTTGTGCCAAGACCGCATTTAGCCTTGGTGTTCAGCAGAGGAGTCTTCGTTCCTGCAGTGTGGCTGCACTAAGATAAGGAATACCCACAGCAGCTTAGTCAACACTTGTAAAACTTTAATCCTAGACTTCACAACATCAGCAAATCCTTGGGTTTTATTATTACTTGTTTGAGAAGCAGAGACAAGGAGAAACAGAGAGCTCCTGTCTGTTCATTACTCAAATGTCCAGGGACACAGTCCAGGTCCCCTCACATGGGTAGCAGCAGGAATTCAGTCATTTGAGCCATCTCTGCTACCTCCCAGGTTCTGCACTGGCAGGAGGCTGAAGTCAGGATCTGGAGCTGGGCTCAAACCCAGGTACTCCTCTGTGGGATTCCGGCGTCTTAACCACTAAGCTACATGCTCGCTGCTAATCCCTGTTTGAGATCACCTAAAATCACTGTGCAGTGTCTTTCAGCTTGGCCTGGAGCCATCGTTCTGAAAACATCCTAAGATTTCTAATAGTCTCCATGGTAGTTTGTAGACTTTAGTTCTGATGCTGATCTATCTGTCCTTGCATTTTGAGTAGCATCTCTCCTTAGCCCCTTTTTACACATTTTCATTTATTAAAATGCTTAGAGCACTTTAATATTTTATTTCAGAAATAAATTACTACAGATGAAATAATTTATAATGTAGATTATACTTGCTTCTAAAGAGATTTGGTTTACAATTAGACATAATACATTTTTAATGAAGCTGTAGGATCCTCTGGCTATACTTAGCATTTCTGTATTTCTTGCATCAGTGGGGTTAAATATCAGTGCCGTAAGATGAGGGGTGCTGCTGTGGCTTTTGCTTTTTCTTCATTATAGCCTGGGAGCTCCCACCGACCGTGGCAGTCCTACTTTGACCTAATCTTGGTGGATGCACGGAAACCACTCTTTTTTGGAGAGGGCACAGTCCTGCGACAAGTGGACACTGTAAGTGCAGAGGATGGAGTTCCTGCTGGAACGCTGTCCTTCCTGTTTCTCTGATCTCAGAGAGAACAGGCATTTGAAATCGGTTAGCCAAGTCTCTCTCAGTCTTATCTGAGGTAACCAAACGGTTAATTGAAAAGAGTAAGTACCATTCATTTGGCTACATTGTGGGTGGAGAGAATGATGGGATGATACAGTATCACAGAGTCTACGGTCTCTTCACACAGAAAACTGGCAAGTTGAAAATCGGTACCTACACAGGCCCCCTGCAGCATGGCATCGTCTACTCGGGAGGTGAGTCGCAGACGTCTCATCACTTGGTGGACACTAAGCTCAGACCCCAGTGAGAAAGCTTTGGTGTTCCTCCTGGCACAGATCTGAAGATGTCACCTGCCAGCGTGCTAGGCGTCAGGGAGGATGGATTTGAGAAGGTGTCAGTGTGTCCTAATGAAGCTTTCATTTTCACTGAAAGGATCCGTTTCCCCCGATTCCTGTAACTGTTTGAGGCTTTTTCTTAGCGTTCTGGAATCGTTTTTGGTGCCTCTGAAGGTGTTCCTTAAGGGTTTTCAAGGATCCTCTGTGGTATGACGTATGTTATGCTGAAGGCCTTGTGTTAGAGGTGATAAAAACAACAGTGGGAAAAAGAATGGTGAGCCTTTTTCTTTTTAAAAAAAAAAAAGGACTGCCCCTCACATAAGAATAAAATAAATCATAGTATTTTAATGGCTATGGTATTTTGAATGCTGGTTTTAATATAGATATTTCTCTCATTGTTCACTCTGTTTGCCTCAGGTTCATCTGATACAATCTGTGACCTGTTGGGAGCCAAGGGCAAAGACATTTTATATATTGGAGATCACATTTTTGGAGACATTTTAAAATCAAAGAAACGGCAAGGGTGGCGGACTTTCTTGGTGATTCCTGAACTTGCACAAGAACTTCATGTCTGGACTGACAAGAGTTGTAAGGAGCTGGGACTCTTATTTTGTAAACCTCTGACTTGATCCTCTTTGATAAAAGCACTGTTTCATAGGCAGGGGTTCAGATGTGGTCAAAAGCTGGGCCCTGATATTTATAAATATCTCCTTCCCCATCAAGATATTTGAATATTTCACAAAGCTTTAGGATTTAAATAACTTTGAGAGGTTATGTTGTTAAAACTTGTTGAATGTTGGTATCCTGAGTATCTTATAGTGAACTGGAGATCTGCCTTCCTCCACGTGCCCCCATCTGCAGTGCTGGGCCAGTGCTGGCTCTGAATGTTTATTAGCTCCTGCTATTTTGTATTTATTATTCTGAGTAGTGAATGAGGCCCAAGTATCTTCTTCAACTGGGATACACTGTGTATAAGCAGTATGTGCACCGTACTGAGTGGGGCTAGCATATAGTTATGTAAAGGTGTCTGACACACTCCAGCAGTCCTGGTGGCCTCACCCACGGTGCCTCAGATGAGAGCCCTGGCACCACCACTTACACTGGCAAGCAAGTTACCAAGTGCCCCTTTGCTTTAGTTTCCTCCAATGCAAAATTAGAAATAATTATAGCACCTACCTTATAAAGCTGATGAGCTGTAACAGATAACATGTGAATGAAGAAGACAGAGTAACCAGTCTTCCCAGGGCTGCTCATCTGAACCACAGAACACAGAAAATTATTTGAAAGACCCATCTCTCTATTCTCCTACAGAAGGTATTGCAAAGAAATATAAAGGATGCATTAGGTCATAATCTCCTGGGAAACCCAGGTACATAAAGGCTGCACACAGGCGGCGTTCAGCAGATGCCACTGTCGCTGTCATCTACTGTCGGTGGACGTTTTGGGCTAGCCTGTTATCAGCTTTCTACCTATGGAGTTTCAGAAATGAAGGTGGTTTGGCTCTGCTACTTCCTGCATCTCTGACTCTAAATTCTTAATTCTTCGTCTGAAAATGGAACTGTTAGCATTTGCAGCTGAGACCGAGTTGGAACTGGCACTCGGCAAGCTCAGGGAGTGTACAGCCGGCAGGGAGAGTGGCAGGTGGTCATCGGCTGCCCCACTCCAAGCAGGACCGCAGTGGGTGGGCTCTCCTGGGGAGAGGAGGAGGGCAGTTTATACACTCACCCATAGCATGTTAGCGTAGGCTGTGCTTTTTGGTTGTATGTGTAACCTTTCACTTTAGTTTTAACAGTAGTTTAAAAGTGGGTGTTTTATTTTTTTAAAACATTCTTCCTTTTCCTTGCAAACCTGAATCAGCACTTTTTGAAGAGCTTCAGAGTTTGGATATCTTCTTGGCTGAACTCTACAAGTAAGTTCCCTAATTCTAAAATTTCTTCCCCTGAAATCACATTTTAACAAAGTCCTTTCTGGAGATTTTCACTGGGGATTTTTCTTTTCTCTTCAGGCACCTTGATAGCAGTAGCAATGAGCGCCCAGACATTAGTTCCATCCAGAGACGTATTAAGGTATCCAAATAGGACTTGTGAGAAAACTTGGACAGTAGTTTGGCTTTGTACAGGGACTGCCACGTAACTGGTGCTCAGGAAGTACTAAAATGAGCTGACGGTCAGTCTTGGTTTTTGTCTTTAGAAAGTGACTCATGACATGGACATGTGCTATGGGATGATGGGAAGCCTGTTCCGCAGTGGCTCCAGGCAGACACTCTTTGCCAGTCAAGTGATGCGTTACGCCGATCTCTATGCGGCGTCTTTCATCAATCTGCTGTATTACCCGTTCAGCTACCTCTTCAGAGCTGCCCATGTCTTGGTGAGTTAAGGCTACAGCCTCAAGTTACTGTTTACAGTTCAGATATACTCTCAGGCCCAGATCTACAGGCAGCCCTGTGGGGCTGGCACAGAGGACATGGTTGCATAGGAAGGGGCTTTGAGGAAGTATGATCCAGAAAAGGAGTTAGGACAGCTTCACTCTGCAGTCTGCGCTATTTACAGTTGTATCTCAGTGGTGAAGACTTTCCTGTTAGTACTAATTCAAAGGAATGTGGTTTTTCTATTCCTATGTTCTGGTATTGGTTCTGGTATTGATCAGCTTTTCTGTTTTGCTGTGAAAGTAAAAAATTCACTCTCTTCTGATGGTTTTAGTTTGTAGTAAACTAGCTGGACATGGGGCAGGGAGAGAGAACAGGTTCTGTGCCTAAACTTGACTCCTTCCTGGTCCATTATAGTTGTAGCTCTGCTTGGCTGCCTGGGGGGAGGGATCAGATTTTGGGAAGCAGCTGTTCTGCTCTGCCCGTTTTCTGAGCTTCCTGCTTTGTTCTAGATGCCTCATGAATCAACGGTGGAACACACACACGTGGATATCAACGAGATGGAATCTCCCCTCGCCACCCGGAACCGCACATCAGTGGATTTCAAAGACACCGATTACAAGCGGCACCAGTTAACACGGTCGATTAGTGAGATTAAACCTCCCAACCTCTTCCCGCTGGCCCCCCAGGAAATTACACACTGCCACGACGAAGACGATGATGAGGAGGAGGAAGAGGAGGAAGAGTAAGAAGGAACACCAAAACTCTGAGTGCCCATTGAACAAGTTCTTGCAGGACTCACAGGAACAAAGGAGGTCCCTGTTTGGGTTCTACTGGGGAGGAGGGGGGCTCCATCAAAGGTACGTCGGGGCAGAGAGACTGTTTTAGCTGTGTATCTATACTCTTTGCAGATGAATCAGAGTTGTATCGGAGGCTGTATTGGAAGAAAGGGTAAAGTCAGGCTGAACTGCATGCACGTGGCTTCACTGTGGCTTGTGACACTGTTTCCTTGTCTTTTTCGTCATTAGTGTGCCTGGATACATTAAGGGTTAAGGGTCTTAGAGGACGCTGTCCTGTTACAAACTGTGCTATTGCTCCAAAATCCCACTTTTTCAGTGAATTACACAGTATTGTGTATCAGTGGAAATACACTGTTTCCATTATGAAATGTCTTCTGTTAAGGTCAAGTTTCCTTTTGTAAGCCTTCAGGTGTCCCGGCAGCTCTGGCGGGGCTGCCGCTCTGTAGTGGCTTTGCAGAAATAGTCTCCGCTTGCTCTAGGGCTGACGTGGAGTGGACGGCAGGTGCTCTGGAAGCCGAAGTCCTCATCCTTTCTGTATTTTTTTAGGTTGATGGAACAAATGCTTATTTGTTATCTCAAAACAATCCTTCTCATTGGTGATAAATCTGTAGAGAGAGAGGCCAAAAGAGCAAGCCCCAGAACACAAGAAGAGAACCTTCTTCCAGCGCACCCCAGCCTGAGTGACACACTCGTGTCGGGGTCGAGCTCTGGTTCCGGCCGCCAGAACAAGGTGTCTGTCCTATGGAGGTGACTGCCTAGTTTAAAGCCGAGCACTGGAGGACCGGGAGAGGCTTCGTAAGCCAGGCCCTTGCCAGAGCAGGGCGCAATCAGTGTGACTAAATTCACTTCCAAATCCCTTGGGAAGCCACTTGTTCTGGACGAGAGGGAATCATCACTGTGTGACAGGGTGTGTGACTGCCTCACCAGGTGCAGTGGAGTTGTTGCAGTGTCTTTAACAGTGGTGTAACTTTGACCTTCATCTCCCTTCTTCCATTCTTGTTGTCCTTAGTCAGCAGGGGAGGGTAGACGAGCTGCTCTAGAGTTCAATAAAGAGTAACATTTCTAACACTGACTCCGCCACCTTTTGTAGCCCAACTGTGAACAGCTGCTGGTCTTAAGTGGGCTTGGGTTTGGCTTAGTGCTATCAATCAGGGTGACATTCTCTTGTCTTAAAGAAATACAGAGTTTCAAAAGTTGCTAAACATGCTCAGATCTCTTGATAAAGAGTGAGTATTCAAGCAGGATGCAGTCTCACATGCTCACACCTGTAATCCTCACGAGCCTCAACGCGCTTTCATAGTTTTCCATGCAGCAGGAGGTGAGGCTTTAAGAAAAATCTGTTTAATAGCAGGGAGCGCACCGCAGTGAGGTAGCCAAGGACCTGTGCCTCCCTGCTTTCCCTGCGTACAGCTTTACAAGCCCTGCCGAGAGACAGCGTCCTGACCAGCGTCTACTGGGAAGAGATGTGGCGTCTCCAAAAAGGTTTTGGAATATTATGAGGAAAATGTGTATTATTTTCCATGAACTTTTTGAAGTGCCTTCCTACTTGGCTTTTAGGTAGGAATCAGGTTAGAATGTTATTGCAAGTAACAATTAGATGCATCCTTGTTTTAAAATTACAGTTACCCCCATGATTATTTTAAGATAAAGATATGGCCCTGACGTGATTAAAGTGTCTCGATTTCTAAGTGACTACAGCTTCAGAGCTGCTGCAGCGCAGCATCACATGCACACATTTCCCCTGCAGAGCAGGGTCCAGGTGATCGCCTGGCTTTAATGTTCCCTACTTCTCAGAGTTGAATAGCAGGGTTATTCTCTGGGTAGACTGAGAAGTGAACAGCGTGCACTTGCACCGAGTGTGCCCATGGTCATGGCTGCCTCCAGGGCCACCGGATGTGCACAAATTACAAACGGTTTTTACACCAAAACAAACATCTTTTAATTCCTCTTTTCCTACGAACTTTGAAATCCCCTCCGCATGTACTATTAGAGCCAAAGACGCCTACGAACCGGAACAGACGGGCTTCTCGGAGTATTCTCACGGGGAACCCAGTGCTGGCCTTTTCCAAACAGGAATTCTGAGTTTCTCTGTTGCCACTGATTAAGGAACCTGAACTTAAAATGTATGCTTTTAATTTTTAAGAAAGGAGAATTCTAGACCTTGAGTTGATAGATCTTGAGAATTGTTTCGTTAGTTTGGGAACACTCCTTATTTGTAGGCTTTTTAGAACACTAGGCACTCTGTGGGCTTCGCAGCTGTCAGCACGTGCTGGCTCCCAGGGACCCTGGCGTGGCTGGCAGCTGGGGACACAGTGGACCCTGTGCAAGGAAGACCATCTGCAGAGATGGCCACGGAAGCTCGGAGGGCGGATCTCAGGAAAGTCGTTGAAAGCCGAGGAAGATTAATGTCCTGCTTTTAGGCCCAAGATGGTCTCCTCACGAAGCACAAGTCTAAGACCTGAAGTCATGAGCAAGCCCCGTGTGCCCTAAGATGCTTTTAGGAAGTGGTTTTAATCCAACAGTAATAACTGATAGCTACAACTACTTGTCGCAGTCGCGCTGTTTTTAAGAAATCACTCACATGTAAAAGCTACATGCAGTTACAGGTCAGGTTTAAAAAGTACTTTGCCCATATTTAGATATTTCTAACTCAGATTTATTTATTTAAGAAATATTTTTGTCAACAACTTAAGCCCTGCAGTTTTCTCCGGGGCTGCCTGGGCATTTTTAAATGCTGTGCTTATTCACCACAAATAGCTTGAGACAAACAACCGCGTACTTAAGTCTGCTCTAGGGTAGGAATCTTGTCCACATTCCACGTTACGGAAACTATGTAACCTCTCTTTGATGCTGGGAAACATGATCACTATGACCCAGCTGCTGCCACACCGTGGACGGTGCACTCCTCACGGGGCTTGGTTCAGGACTCGAGCTTGCTCACGACATTCTTTCCTGGGGACTAGGCCGTCAGCTCTTCTTAAAGCTTTTCCTCTTAGGGAGCAATTTCAAACAGTAACTGCGAGCGGCCCTGATGACGACATCCCTGCCACGAAGCTGCCTGAGCAGCCTTGAGGATGGAGGAAAACTGCGGTACAGCAAGGAGCAGGGACGATGTGCACACGGACAGCAGCCAGGAAGCAGGGCCAGGCAGCTTCCAGAACCTACGTGGCACCATCCCGGGCAAGCAGCACGGTGCCATCGCGGCCGAGCGGCCGAGGACCTGGAAGCAGCAGGATGCGCCTTTTAGAAAGTGCACTCGCTCACCGAAGGAGACACAGCGTCTCAGCTCCCCCTGCCTCTCCCTGTCCTCACACACAGCATCCCAGGGCTACAGAAACCTGACAAAGATGTCCAAAAAGGGTGTAGCGTTTCAAAAAACGGAGCCCCCCACTGAGCATTCTGTTAGGGGAGGCAGTCCCATTAGATTGCTGTCAGTGGTGCACTGTGGGCCTCTGAGTCTGGCACGTGCGCTCTGCACGAACACCACAGGTGCCTCCGCCGCGCACACCCCCTGCTGACCATGCAGCAGCCGAGACCCTCTGTGAATGCTTGTAACTGAACTTGCTTATTCTCTCCCTGGAAGTCTCAATCTATATTTGCTACTTTCAAACAAAATGAATAGTGTTCAGTCTTGTCCCTCTTTTTGTTCACATAACACACCTTTGCTCTCCTTGATTAGAGAAAGAAAGTGGGTTAGATTCACTGCTTCATGGTTCACATTAGGTACAAGCATGCTCTGCTCTCCCATGGAGCCGGGCCTGAGTGAACCTTCCCATACAAACTGGAGCCCAGGCAGTGCGCAGCCCTCTCCCCCCACCCCCATGGGAGACGGCCGAGTCCTTTCCCATCTCCCAAGTTCTACGATACTTGGAAAGAGGATTTGCCAAGCAAACCTTCCAGCCCAGGAAAATGCTCATTGACTATTTTGGGGGGGAAGGGTTCTCACTGGAGGTAATCTTTAACTTAGTGTATTTTGAAATAAGCAACATTTGGGTCTGGACTCATGGTCCACCAGTCGGCAGCACCAGAGGGGAGGTGGGGACCGGTTGGGTGTGCAGGTTTGGGCAGGACCCCGTGACCCCCCAGTTCAGCGAAGTCCCTCAGTCTTCCCCAGCAACTTGCTTCCTCTGCCTCACGGCGGCCAGCAGCGGAGTGCCCGCCGTGGAATGGAATTCTGGGAAAAGCAGACATGAAGCCCTCGGGGGCAATGATGAAACAGTCACACGAGGAAAGCCAGAGTTTATTTATCATCTAATGGAAGTCAGCTTTTTGGCTTTCATAGGAATCGGGTTTTTAAACTTAATTCATTTCAAAAAGGGCAAGTAAGTTTCCAGAAAGCAGCTCCAGGCTGTGTGTCGATCGCTTTCTCTACAGGCTCCTCTGATCAGTAGTTGCCTCGTACAGAGTTGGGAAGAGCCTCCGGGGAGCAGGATTTTTGTGCGCACATGAAGATCAAGGTTAGAAATGAACTGACCCGTGTGTGAGCTCATGCCGATGCAGGGAGAGGACAGGCACAGCTACTCCTCCGTAGGGCAGGGACCGCCACACTGAGTGTGTGCAGCCAGAGACGGCAGCCAAAGCCGGAGTTGGGGGCGAGTGGGAGGCACCGCTGCCTTCCCCAGCCTGCTCCTCAGGGGGTACCAGGCTCCTGGGTCCCCTGCGGGACGCAGGGGACGTCTCAAAGCTACTTCCAGAAGCGGCCTAACAACACTGGGGAGACAGGAGAGGGGCTTAGGCAGCGGCCCAGAGACAGGCTTGCCAACAGTTCACTGAAATGTCTCCATCTACAGGACAAATAAAAGTAGGATCAGCTATAGAGGTCAAGGTTAAATAAATGACAGTGGGGACTATATGGGACCAGTCAAGAGGTCAAATTCTGATGGCATGATCCTCTTTGGAACGTAAAGCAGAGACTAACAATGGTGGGAAAAAATTCCAAAAAGATGCAGGGGCTGCCGCCTGGGAAGCCAGCATCCCACGTGAGTACAGTTTGAGCTCAGCTGTTCCACTTCGGTTCCAGCTCCCTGCTAATGCGCCTGGAAAAGCAGAAGATGGCCCGAGTGCCTGGGGCCCTGCTACCCATGTGGGAGACCGGAGGGAGTTCCAGGCTCCTGGCTAGTCAGGCTACTTGGGGAGTGAACCAGAATATGGAAGACCTAACTGTCCAGCCCACCCCCAACTCTGCCTTTCAGATGAGTAAGATAAACCTAAACAACAACAGCAACACCCGGTAGTCCAGGAGGGGCCCTGGGCACAGAAAGGACGGGTGGGGTGGGGAGAGGTGGGGGTCACCCACTCTGGATGACAGCTGTCAGCTGCTGCTCTTGATGCGCCTCGCCCGAGTGCTGAGTGTGTGTGACGCCAGGGTGCCCGTCCTCGCCCGCGCCACCTTCCTCCCAGGCTGCCCTCAGCCAGGAGGCCCTGCACAGCCCTTCTCATCTCCAGGAGCCATGTCAACCCGAAGGATGCTTTTGGTCTTGCTTAGGAGAGACCTTGGAGGCACCTGCCCAGCTGAAGTGTGTGCTGTTAGCAGCTGGCGTCCTTACCTAGACAGACTGCAGACCTGCCAGAGAGGACGCCCCTCTAGAATCAGCCGTCCCGGGAGCCGGCACCCGCTTCTGCAACACGAGACCCTGCAGTGCCGCCACGCTGAGGTCCAGGCCAGTGGACCTGGGCAGTGCAGCGAGGCTGGACGAGCTGATGGGGGGGGGGTGGCGACACAGAGGAAGGGCAAAGAGGGAACACACGTCTGCTAGAAGGGTGAGCAGAAAAATCATCATTTATCTCAGCAGAACAAATAAAACCTCTTAAAAACAATCACAGAATTTACAAATAAATTGGTACAAAATAAATAAGACTGTAAATCTACAACATCATTCGAGTTATAAAACGCATTCATCGTGACAAGCAGCTGACGAGCCCCATCTGTGGCATCTGCTTCCCTGGGTTTGCGTCCACAGCTCTGAATGCTGTGTTCAGGAAGCGCCAAATGCTTGCAGCGAACACTATGATACAGCGCGAGGGCTGCGGACGGTGACGCCAGACGCAAGGCAGGGCTGATCTGAGGGCCAAGACAGAGTTGGCACTGCACCTCAAAACCAAGAAAAGGCATAGAACAGCCCACGTGGGCAGGCAGCGTCCGAGGTCCAGACTCACATTCTGCAGCCTGAAGGGAGAGGCAGAGGCCGCTTTCTGGGCTCGGGGAGGGCCGAGTGAGGAAGGCGGAGCCGGTCTCACAGCCACAACGGCACCAGTGCACAGGGGACGAGGCCCGGGCACCCAGAGCGCCTCTGAAACGCTTCATGGAGGGACCCACGAGCCTCTGCACAAGGTCGGAGACCACCGCCAGCCACCTCCCGACACTGGTCACCAGGAAGAGGCGGGCCTAACGCGAGGGGGCGCAGATGCCGGCGCCAACGTCAGAGCAGCAACCTGTCAGTAAGACCCACGCGCCACCGCCCTGCCCCTGGGCTTGAGGGGCGTGGAACCGCGGGCTCCACGCGTGGGGGCTTTACCACAGATGACGCAGTACCGGGAGAGGCCTATGTACATAATAAATAATATAAAATAAAGCATATATACTCGTGGACTTAAGACTCTAGGAACAGGGAAGTCACCGGACCGCCAAACTCCGCCTTCAGAGCGCACTTCAGACCACGGGGCGCGGGGGCGCGAGGACGCACGAGCGGGGCTGGGCCCTGGGGGGTGCGAAGCCAGAGCCCGCGCGCGCCCCAACTTCCCTGCGTGAGAGCAGCCCGCCACCTGGCCCGCCTGACACACGGCTTCAGGGGACTGTGCCAGCGAATCCTGGCCCGAGAGTCCCTCCCTCAGAGACTCCATGTGAATGAGATGTGGGCCAAGGCAAGACAGAACCCCAAGTTCTGCCCACCTGCTCTGGCCTCAGTGGACACGGAAACCCGGAAACGCTGCTCTGTCCCAGCACGGGCTGGATCTGAGGCCGACACACACACACACACACACACACACACACAGAGCTGCGCTCTCTCCGCTGAAACCTCTCATTCCCTGTCTTGCTTGAAGCACAGCCCTCAACAGCTACTTAGCGATTCCAGCTGAGACGACCCCAGCAGCTCCAGCGGAGAGAGAGGAAGCGGCCTTGAGCTGGGCCAAGCGCAGGTGTCAGACGGAGGCAGGGACAGGGCCTATGGATGCTGCCGCCCGGCCCCCGGCGCTGAGCGGGAGGCAGAGGAAAGCCCACAGCTCACACAAAACTCAAGGATGGCGGCCCCCCAACCCCGCGTCAGCCTCCGCTCCGCCTCGCGCACCACTGGCCCCTCACTCATCTCAGCCCCAGACACGAGGTTTACAGACGTACGATAAAGACGTGCAAACGGCCCTGAGGTACAAAAACCCGCTGACTAGGTTGCTCGTTGAGAAATTCTCACCAGGAGCTCCTGAATTCCAGCCCATTCGCGTATTCAACATTCCCTGCATCTCTGATTCTGGGGTAACCTACAGCTCACCCAATCCCCTGCCGCACAGAAGCACCGCTGGCCCAGAGCGGGCGCGGCCGGCTCAGGGGCTCAGGACGAGGCCGGCTCTCCCAAGCAGGGAAGCCAGTACTGGCGCCCCGCAGCCTCCCAGCCCCCGCCCTGCCCTCAACCCCCTGCCCGGTCGTCGGTCGGCCCGACTAAGGCAGCATGGCATGGGGAGGGTGGGCCTGGAGCACAGCACCCAAAGGCAGCCCTCCCTGGTCTCCTCCTGCCTGAAGCTCCCTGTGCCGGGCTAGGGTGCTCTGCCTGGGGTCACCCCTGCGGAACAGTGTTGGACCCTTGGTTGCCAGAGACCTCGACCCTGGGCCCGGCACGGCAAGGACAGCACTGATTCCTGGTTGGCCGTCAGAAGGTGCCAGAGGCGGCGGAGGTCACCCGCCAGGGCCCGCTCCAACAGCCTGAGGACAGCTCGCGGGCCCTGCTGAGCTCAAATTCTCATTGCTCCATTTCCTAAGGAAAACGCAGTTCTATTTGTAGCTCCCCATCTCCACTGGTCCTGCCTGGTACTGGGGGGCGGGCAGCAAGGCAGTGACTGTCCGCATCAACATCTGCACCAAAGTTCCTTGAAATAACACCGGGAACGGGAAACAGGTGCTGCTCCCTCCCCGCGGGCGGGGGGAACACCTGGACAGGGCCCCTCTCACATTCCCACTGAGCAAGACCATTAAGCGCCCCAATGTCACACACACAAACCTTAAGCTGTTGTCTTCCCCAGAGTTTAACAAACGATCCTGGACCTGGTTCGGGACGGAAGGGCACTTGCCGACAGGAGGGGCAAGCCCCTGATTGGAAAAAAGACGCAAGAGGCGAACAGCGTCTCGGGAACACCTGGAACTAGGACCCCAGGTCCCAGGGAGCCTCCAGGACGCCCGAGTGGCTGTGCAGGAGAGGCGGCCCCGCCCGTGCCCACAGAGGCCACCGCAGAAGAGAGGCCACCAGGACCTGGGCCTAGGCGGCAGCTCCCCGCTCAGCCTCGCAGACACCAAGGGCCCAGGCCCCCACGCCGCTCCTCCCCGCTCAAGCACTCTGGAGGTTTCCAGAGAGGGCATGGGGCCTGGCCCTCCCCCCACCCGGAGCAGACGCCGGCCTTGGAAAGGCCACCTGCCGCCGCTGGGCTCCTCTGAGAGGCGGCTTTGCGGGGCAGAGGGAGAAAGGTGCCGTCTCCCGCCAGCAGAGGGCGTCAGCGGGTACCCTGCGCGGACTCCTCCTCCCCGGGGATTACAAAGGCGCCCCAGTGCGTGGACTGATTCCAGAGGCTCCTTCCGCTAGGGGAGCGCATAGAGAGGCGGCCGGGAGAGGCCGTGAGGACAGCTCCTGGGGGCCGGGGACCTGGCTGCCCAGCACGGCGGCGGGGAACGAGGCGGGGGCGGGCAGGTGTTAGGGGCGAGACCGCCCGTGGCACCCTCCTCACACTGGCCTGCGCTCAGCCAGAGGCGTGTTAGGAAGTGACCGCTTCACTTGCCCGGGGAGCCTCACAGCGGGGGTCCCGCAGGTCACCGAGAGAGGCTGGTCCTTCCCTAAGGGCCTGGCGCCTCCCAGAGCGATACTGCACCTCGGACCAAGGGGCCCGGGAGGCCGCCGTCTGCCAGCTGGGGCCGGGGAGGCGGCGCGCACACCCAGCACCGCTAAGGCTCCGGTTCCCACGCACAACGAGCCCGGGCGCGCCCACAGCGCACTTTTGGTTTCTCAGCTCCTGTCTGGGGCCGAACCAGCCCTGCTGGCCACACAGGCAGCCTCTCTGGCTGTAACCGAGGAGGCGGGCACGCAGGCCTGGGCCCAGGGGCACCGGAGAGAGGACCGCTGAGGAAGGCAGGCTGGCAAGCCCCAGGTCCAGCAGCGCCCCTGGGCGCAGGGCGGAGCTTCTCCGGACCCGCCCGCCCCGCGAAACCCTGGGGAGGTTTGCGTTTGGCATCTGTGTAGCAGCGTCCTGGGTTGCCCCGGGGGAGGGCGGAATGCGGGGATGAAGTCAAGCGGCCCCTTGCCAATGATAAACCCTGGGTTTAAGATTCATTAGCATTCATTTCGGTGGAAAAAATTCCTTAGGGTGGGAGGAGCAAAGCCACATCCCGCAGGCCAACGCTGCGCCCTGTGCGGGAAAGGGGAGCGCCCCGCGTCCAGCTCAGAACCACGCGGGCTCTGAGCGCAGCAGGGCCCTGCCGGACCACACCCCACAGTGACCAGAGACTGGCAGCGTCTGCAGTGACAGGTTTGCTTCATTGGGCCATCAAGTTCGACAGCGACACCCGCTGGGGCACAGAGGAAGAGGAGGGCCGGGCCGGCCAGTCCGCGCTCTCAGGGTCCCGTCAGGGCTCACAGCAGAGTTCCGACAGAACAACTCAAAACGCTGCAAAAGACACTTTAAAAAAAACATGATCTCTTGAAAAAATAAATCGCAACCATTTTCAACTTCATGCAACTCGAGGGAGGAGGACAGTGAATAATGGTAAAAGGTACAGCTGAAAAAATAAACGTGATTCTATCCGGGCAGCAGTTCCTCCGCAGCCCCGTGGCCGCCGCGCCCCGGCTGCGGCTCTCGCGTCTCGGCCGTCCATCCCTCCCCTGGCCGTCGGCCTCCTCCTCCGCTTCCGGCGAGGGGACGAAGTCTTTGGTCTCGGAATGGCGCGGGCTGCAGCGCGGCACACAGGTTCCCACTGACCAAGTCACGGGCAGGCCGGGCCGGCCCCGCCGCTAGATGGCGCCCTCGCCGTGCAGGCTGTGGTTGGCCTTGCTGTGCGCCACACAGTTCTGCTCGGTGAGCAGGTTGGCCGTCTCGTCGGGCAACCCGTCATGCAGCTCGGTAAGAGTCAATTCAACCTTAGTGTTCTCACTGTCCGAGGACTGAGGGGTTCTGTCCATGCGGGAAGCCATCAGGGCGTTTTGGTATTGCTGTCTGGAGATCTGGGGCCGGAACACAGCACAGAAAACAAACCGAGAGGCGCTTAGTTTAGGGTCCCTGTCTCCGCGGAGCCACACATTCACTCCCCGAGTCGCCCGCGGCCGCTTCTCGGGAGGAAGCCATCCTGGAGGACACACGGAGCCGCCTCTGAAGTCCAAGTTGACTCTGGCGAACAAAGTCGCGTCTTCCTTTTGGCACCCATTTCCCACTGTGTCTCAGAAGCTCAGAGACCAGAAAATGGAGATGGGTTCCACCAGCTAAAGCCGGCTTGTTTCCCAACTCGACGGAGGAGAGGGGCGCCTCCCACCCCGGTCCTGCCAGGGCACCATGAGCTCGAGACCTGAGGAGCCTTGGTCTTCCTCCCCGTCCCCGCCCCTTCCCTGCAGGTGCCACGTGTGGTTTGGACGTTCATCCGGGAAAGCCAAGGAGATGCGTGTTTCTCCCAGCCTCGCGGCACCCCCAAAGTAATCACGGGAGAGCTCCGTGCAGCGGCCGGGGCGCCACACACCCACCTCGCTGTGGGCAGGGCGGCCCCTGCGGGCCCAGCCTCCTCCCTCACCTTGACAAACTGCAGGTCAGAAAGGGCTCGCACGGAGTAGTCGGGGACGTAGACTTGCAGGAACGAGGAGCCCAGCTGGTTATTGCCACTCCCCAGCGTCGGGGTCACCGCCTCCATCCGGTCACTGCGGCTGAGCGAGTCCGAGTGATTCAGGCCACACGGGCGGGGAGGTGACTTGTTTTCACCTAGACCAGAGGGGAAGAACCACCTGTTAGCCGAAGCAGACATCGTCGACAGAGTCAGCTCTTCGTATTTTTCAAGCAAGAGCTTCCACGCAAGCCCAGTCCTCGCGCCCCCGCTCAGCGCCAGGGGACGCCCACTTCCGGTGCGAGGCCGCCCACGAAGCCGAGGCCAGCGCGAGGCCGAGCCGGAGCAGCTCTGCGTGCCCGCCGTGGGCCAGGAGGCGGCCGGGCTTCCCCGCCCTGCTAGAAGCAAAGGCTCCCGGGGCCACTCGCCAGGCAGTGCGCGCTTCCACGGGGCTGGGACACTGCTGCCTGCTCACGCCACACCCCCAGCCAAACCAAACTTCTTACGTCTCTGATCCCAGTCAGATCCCCCAGACAGCGCAAGGATGTCTCAGGAATTCACAAACACTAGGAGGTGTCAAAAGACCTTGAAAAGTTGAAGTTATCCCGGGTGCTAACGGATTCTTTCATCAGATTTTGCACTCTTATTAAAATTGAGTGAACAAAAATTCAAACACATTAGTCTTGCTCGGGAGGAGTACTGCTGTAGCTGCTAACCTAAGTTCCATTAAAAATAAACCCACTCCCTTCCCAAGGGGGCTTCCACGTTTGCTTTTCTCATCAACTAGATGGTGCGCCCGTTACTAGGGGCAGCCACACTGCACAGGCTCAGGGCTGTGGCAGGCCCCGGGACAGCTCCTCTCTGCAGGGCAGCCCTGGTAGAAGCTCCCCCAGAGGTGGTCCTCTCTCACTCACCTTGAGAAAGGGTGCTGCCATGGCCAAGGCTGCCCTAACTTCAAGCGACAGGCCAGGCTTTAAGGCACTCTTGTTCCTTTGCTATCTGAAGTAGCCCTTTCTAGAAAGAATGGAGTTCAGCTCTCCCCAAGTCTCTCATTCTGAAGGCTGCTCGAGGTTCCACCTGACCTTGTAACTCTGTTTGCTGAGAGGACATTTAGAATAAAACATAAGCACTCTGGGGCCAGCGCTGTGGCACAGCAGGTTAAAGCCCTGGCCTGAAGCGCTGGCATCCCATATGGGCGCCAGTTCCATTCCCAGCTGTTCCTCTTCTGATACGGCTCGCTGCTGTGGCCTGGGAAAGCAGAAGATGGCCCAAGTCCTTGGGCCTCTGCAACCACGTGGGAGACCCGGAAGAAGCTCCTGGCTTTGGATCGGCGCAGCTCCAGCCGTTGCAGCCATCTAGGGAGTGAACCAGCGGTTGGAAGACCTTTCTCTCTGTCTCTACCTCTCTAACTCTTTCAAATAAATAAAATAAATGCTTAAAAAAAAATAAGCACTCTAGGACTCTCAGATGATGAGTTCACTTTCTCCTGAAATTTTCATGCTATAATTTTCATGTCTATAATTATCATGTCACAAATTTTCCATTGTTAAATCAATATTAAGGGAGTGGACACTTGGCCTTGCGGTTAAGATGCCAGCATCCAATGTCTGAGTACCTGGGTCTGAGTCTCAGCTCTGGTTCCTGACTCCAGCTTCCTGCTAAGACAGAGGTGATGGCTTACGTTCTTGGGGTCCTACCACCCACGTGACAGACCTGCATCGAGTTCCCGGCCCCGGCATCTGGGGAGTAAAGCCGGTAGACAGGAGTTTTCTCTTCTCTTTCTGCTTCTCAATTAAATAAGATAATAAAACTCAGCAATAGCTCTTCCTTTTGCTTCCACTTACCTTCTAAGAGAACAAGGCAAATTATAACTTATGAATGTCTTATATCTAGCAGAATGGAACTATTAAGAGGATCTGATCCTCCACCTTGCGGCGCCGGCACACCGGGTTCTAGTCCGGGTTGGGGTACCGGATTCTGTCCCGGTTGCCCCTCTTCCAGGCCAGCTCTCTGCTATGGCCAGGGAGTGCAGTAGAGGATGGCCCAAGTGCTTGGGCCCTGCACCCCATGGGAGACCAGGATAAGTACCTGGCTCCTGCCATCGGATCAGCGCGGTGCGCCGGCCGCAGCGGCCATTGGAGGGTGAACCAACGGCAAAGGAAGACCTTTCTCTCTGTCTCTCTCTCTCTCACTGTCCACTCTGCCTGTCAAAAAAAAAAAAAAAGAGGATCTGAACTGTAAGCTCTAGATTGCTCATCTGTAAAATGTGGTAACAGGCCCCGCCTCAGGAGGTCTGGTGAGGGTTAAAAACAAGGTCACGTAAAGCGCTTGGCACACACCTGACACCTGTAAGCGCCCGATAAATGCGCCTCGTTAACATTTCATGTTCTTTCCTCTTCGTTTCCTCCCAGACCTCACTGCCGTGTGCCTACCTTCGTGACGAAGGCTTTCCAACAAGGGATCCCACCACACCCCCAGGCTTCAGTCCCAAATCCCACCACTGTTTCCACAGACGCCTCTCACAGCGCCCACTTTCAGGCACTGATATCTGAAGTTTAGCAAGACCAAGCCCCGAAAGGCACCTTCCTTGCTGACCAGACCCAAGCGCTGGCAGGAGACCCCGAGGCCTCCAGCTCCTTGCTACTTTGTCCTGACGGAGAGGGAGCACAGCACCATTTGGTCCGTGCTGTGTCTGGACTCACAGTCAGCTTCCTCCCAACCCACTGCTTTGCTGTTGTTTCCTTTAATTAATTAATTCAGCCTGAGTTCCCTCCTGCTGGCCTCCCCAGAGCCTGCCATGGGCAGGGCCGGGTCTCGGGCTACAGCTGGAGCAAGGAGCCACGCGCTCAACCCAGGTCTCGACGCGGATGGCAGGGACCCGACTGCTCGAGTCACCACGGCTGCCTGCAGAGTCTGTGTCAGGAAGCTGGAATTGGGGGTAAGGCAGGAACCAAACACAGGCGATGTGGGGACACAGAGGTCCTGAGCAGTGAGCCAAATGCCTGCTCCTGCCCTCTGGTGTTTAACTTTCATTTACTGATTTTCATTTTATCTGGAAGGCGGGGGGAGGGGGTGGGGAATGAATTTTCCACCTGCTGGTTTACTCCCCAAATGCCTGCAACAGCCAGGGCCGGACCAGGCCAAAGTCAGAAACCCGTAACTCTATTCAGGATCTCCCATTTGGGTGGCAGGGACCCAGCTACTTGGGCCATAAGCTGTGACGGGAAGCTGGATCAGCAGCAGAGGAGCCGAGACGCAAACTGGGCATTCCAACATGAGACACGAGTGTCCAGATTGTTTCTGTGGACTTGCCCTCTCTCTGCCCTCACAGTCACGGCCACAAGAAAGAGGCCGGCTTCCAGGAGCACTGGTGCAGCTCCACAGGCACCCGGCAGGGTCAGCAGGTGCACAACCCTTGGTTTCAATTCACTATTGAGAGCCTCAAATGGAGTCCCAGCAATAATTAAAATAATAATCTGCAGGTCCACAGACGATCGGCGGCTTTGGGGGCCAGTGACGCTCTGCATTTTAGCAAGGCGGCCCCGGCCGTGTTTCCGCGTCATGCCCCCCAGCGGGGGGTCCAGGCGGGCGAGATGGGCGAGGAGGAACGTGCAGCATGAAGACAGGGTGGCTGCTCCGCAGCTGCAGGCATGTTTCGCTGCACACATGTGTACGAAGTTTCATGACAATGATTACAGGAAAAACTTCCATTTGGATTCCTCCCTGCCTTCCCAGAACTGTGTTCTCGCTTTTTGTCTTGCTTTATTTTACCCATCCCACCTAGGAATTCTTTCTTTTTGGCAGCATGCAGGAATGAAACATTCCTGGGAGCCATGGCTGGAAGAGGCTGGGATCCCTGCCGTACTTCAGCGCCCACTCGTGAGGTATCTGAGGACCCAGTGTCAGCCTCCCTGAGGGCCTGCACCCACCAACTGGGCTTTTCTTTCCTGGCTTGGGCAGAGTGAGCACAGTTGAGAAATCTCAAGGTCCACAGATAAAGTAAAATGCAGATGGCCCTTCTTTTCTTTCCCTGGGCTGCACCAGCCGGTTGCTCCACTCTGGCCTCTGGGACATTTTAACTGAGCAGCAGGTGCAGGCAAATCAGATGGGGAGGGAGGAAATGCAAACACCCATGGATGCAGGTGCATCTGTACACACACGTGACCACCGTGCTGGCGGCTGGATTCAAGTAGCTGCGAGCACCAGCTCACCCCAAACACCGGAGCTTTTTCCAAAGCTTCAGCACGCATTGGTTTCCAAGACAAGTGCTGCCTCTTCCACCACGTCTCAGCATTTTAAGGTTCTGCTGAGTCTGAATTATGAAATGCCAATTTCATCATTCAGATTTAAAAATATAAGCTGTATGGAACAAAATAAATTCAGAAAAGCTGTGTTACCAAGTAGGAAAGCCCAGCCATTTTAATTAAAGCAAGATTAACCTCTCCTCTTCTCTCGAGTGGACACATTGCGAGGCTGGCTGCCCTCTCCCGCCGGGAGGTCCTCCGCGGCGTGGCAGGAATGTGCACAGCGCCGATTTCAAAACAAAGAGAGGGGAGACTGGGAGACGCAGGGGCCACCTGCCTGGCAGGGAGCAGAAGTCCACGCACCCCGTTCCCATGGACGCTGGAGGAAGGATCAAAGAAACAGGGATGCTGGAGGCCTCTGTGGATGAGGTATTTTTCTTGCTTACGAAGAAAAGCTGTCGGCCAAATGCATCTGTAGGCGCATCCTTACAGGCCTCTGCCAACGACACCCCCCGGGATGCGCTGAAGTCAGAGGCAGAACCCCGAGCAGCCTCCTCCGGCTGACCTGACTATTTAAGGTCAGCGGTACGGGTGGGATGGAAGGGCCACTCAGGATCGTGTGGGCACCACTGTGCCTCCCAGGGTTCACCACTGCCCATGTCCCAGAATTCCTCTCCAGTCTCGCAAACGCCATCTGCTGGCTGATGAGGTTTATCCTTTCCCGGACAGCTCACTATGAAGTCAGAGAACCTCAGTGTCTCAGGGCTCAGAGGAAAACTGCCCACGGTCTTATCCAAACAGGGGGAGCTGACCCAGCCAAGCAGGCTTTTCTGGGGTCAAGGGGAGGCAAGGAAGCGAATTATGAAAAGGAAACATGCAGAATTACCTGGAGAACCTGCTGCTAACAACTCTGTTCTGCTGACAACAAAGGTACGAGACAGGGACAAAGGAACTGAAAAATGGAGAAAAACAGGGTGAGACCGGATCAGAAGACGAGAGAGGAGGTCTCTGTCATCAGGGCAGAGCCGATTCTTGTTCCACCTACATCGGATTTGAGTCCAGAAACACGAAGCCGGACGGGCTGTTCCGTTCACACAAAAGAGCTCTCGCTGCTTTCCAGAAGAGGGGAGCAGGGCGAGGCCGGAGGAGCCTGTTCACCCCCTTCTTTACTGAGGAAGTTCCTGAAGCCAGGACGCTCCGCTGGGGTTTGTTGCTCCCAGCGGGCTTCTGATCTTAAGGACTTAATTCACCACAAATAGCCGCGCGAAAGGAGCTCCTTGTGAGTCAGCTGTGCTCAGAGCACGGCCCAAGCCCATGGCGCCCGCGCCCCGCCACTCACCGCCCTGTCTGTGGCAAGCAATCATCCCACTAATTTGCACTCCTGGTCTCACTGTCATGATGGCCCTGGGGTGCTTTCAAATTTCAAAGTAGAGGAAATTCAGTCAGGAAGGGCACACCAGATTTCCCCAAGTCCAAAGACGAGGGTTATCCTTGTCACTGCTTCCTCGGCCAGGGAGCCACAGCGCCGCGGGAGTGAACGCTCTCACGAACACGTGGCGCAGAGAAGGGATTATTGTAGGCTTTTCCCAGACAGCTGGCCTTCATCCAGAGAACCTCACCTGGATGGGCCCGCAGCATGGTGCACGCACCTCCCAGTGACTGCGGACAAATCCCACAGCCGAGTCGTGAAGTGAAACAACACTCGGCTTTGGAACGCCAGCTGCCCTTCGGCGGCGGCTCTCCCGCAGACGGGCTGCCCTGGCCTTCCCACTCGGGTTTGTCCGTCCACGCTGGTTCAATATGAAGGGCTCCATGATGAGAAGTCAACAAACGTGCAAGCTCTTCAAGGTCACCGTACAGACCTGGCTCTGCTCACCTGAGCTCCTGCGAGGTTGGCTGTCACAAACAGCCACACTGACACCACCACCCGACTTTCCCTCTTCCACGCTAAATGTTACAGTGTCCCAGGAGGTGACAGTGTATGTCCTTTTAGTAAGGAGGAAACCAAGGGCCTTTCTCAACGTCACACAACCATGTGTGATGGAACTGAGGCTGCGACCAGGTGCAGTCAAGCCTAGTTAGGAAGCAGTGGGAAAAAAAAAAAAGGCTGCCTTCAAGTTCACCACAGAGCCCTGAAGAAGTGGGACCAGACAGGCCCATGTCCACAGGGTGCTGGTCAGCAGCTGATAATGGGGACACCATGGCCCCAGGACTCAAAGACCTGCGCCCGGACAGGGAGCAGACGCATCTGGGGCAGAGGCGGCCTGAAGCTGGGAGAACTCCTGGTGGTTCCCCGAACTGCGGACGGTGACATCCGTGGCATGGGAAATGACGACCAATGACACCAGACTTTTCTGGCGGTGCCCTCTCTGGGACTGCCGCAGTGTGCTGCGAGGGTCTTGTCCCCCGACATAGCTGTCATTGATATTTCCGACACAAGGTGGCACTCCAGCTCCTGCTTACCAGCCTGACCTAATCCTGCTAGGATAAAGCTTGCCTGGCAGAAGAGACCATTCCAGTCCCGGCCCCGAGATGAGCCATCACGCCAGGTATGTGTGTCTTCCTAGGACACACAGGGCTTGCAGGCATCTTGGAAAAATGCTCAGAGAAGCAAGCCAGTCCCTATGGCGCACCAGCCCTTAGCTGGCTGACTCAAGTGGCCTAGCTCTCTAGATGAGAGGAGCTCGCCATCGGCAGCAAATATTCAGTAACGCTCGGGACTCTCAGGGAAAAGCCAATCAAGCGCTCAGAGCAGCTCACATGGACAGGACTCACCACCACCGAGGGCTGGGCACACAGCGGCAGCCACGGGAGGACGAGCGCTGAAGGGCACACACACTGCTAGGGATCCACCCAGTGCAGACACCCACACCCACCACAGCATTCACACGTCGCCATGCAGTGGTCAGGACAGAGCTGAACTGTCTCTGAGGCTTGGTCCCACGTGGAGACAGTGAGAGGGGGTAGGGCCTAGTGGGCGGTCATCGGCTTACAGGAGATTGGCCCTCTGACAGGGTTAAGGTGTTCAGGTGGGAGCCGAGGCTAACGAGAGTGACTTGGGACAAGGCACCCACCCCTGCTGTGGCATCCTGCCAAGTTCTCCCAAGCTGACTGTTCCACAGAACAAGCCTGGCCACTCCCCAGCTCTTGACTTCCCAGTCCCACGTGCTCCTGCCACCGAGAGCCACCTGCCATGCGGCACACACACACCAGAGCCAAGCAGCAGCCAGAGCCACCCATGCCTTTGAGCCTCCAGAAGCCGAAGCTGAATACACTTGTGTTATGAAGCCCACAACCATCAGCAACGAACAGATGAACGCACGGTTGTACACGTACACGATGGCGCACACGCGACACGGCTGAACATGACAAACACGGCACTGAGCACGAGAAGCCGGTCTCAACGCGACACACACTCAGTAACCACGTGTATCAAGTTCAAAACCAAACAAAGCTATTCTCTGCTAAGTCAGACAGTGGTCACCTCTGGGGGTGGCAACTCACAGGGGACACGGGGCTTCTGTGGTGACATCTGTCCAAGCTGGGTGCTGGCTTACACAGCTGTGTTCAGTTTGTCCAAAGCTCATGGAGGTGTCTATAGTTTATCTACAATTTGTGGGGGGGATTTTTGCATGGATAACATACTTGAGTAAAAAGTTGGAAAAGCAAGCGGAGGACAGCTGCCAGCACGGAGGGAAGGCGCGGGCAGAGGGGCCTCCCTTCCCAAGACACAGCCCTGCCCGGCAGGCGGGAGGCAGACGCACCTGGAGAGGCTGTCAGGGCCATCACGCCGTAGTATGAAAACGCACTCGCTTCGAACTTCATTCCTTCTTTCCCAGCTTCCACTTCCACCTTCCCCTGTGGGAGAAAACGAGGGCCACGTTCAGTGCGATCGCATGGATCTCTCTGGACACGATATATGCAATTTGGTCCTTCCTCCGATCTCGTTTCAGTTCTTCTCCCAATGATTTCAAGGAGCTAATGTCCCCCACACGGAGAAGTGAGTTAAGCTGCATCTCAAGTATGAGACGTGCACTTGGCTGGGTAGGCAGAGGGGACAGCAGGCAGCGCTGCTCTATTCCCGGAGTCCTCTCGGTGTTTTCCCAAACTCCTTCTTGATGGAAAAGAGGGCGCTTGCTCTGTCAAGGAGCCAGGCGCCAAAAGGTGCTCAGGGGTGGCTGTCCACACAGCGTGGGGCAGGATCAGGCCCCGTGGCCAGCAAGGTTGGTCACCAGAGAACAGAGAGGAGGCACCTGGCTCCCAGGAGCAGAGCCCACTCCTGGTCCTGACCTGCTGGGCAGCCCCTCGCAGGAAACGCCACTGCCCACACATTCTACAGCACCCAGCGCTTGGAAGAGCTCCTTGGGAGAGTCTCTTCCCACCAGATGCCATCCCCATTCCCACCACTCCCAGGTCTCCCCTCTCCGACTTGTGTGCGACCTCTCCTCCCCCTTTCTCAGTTCCTCTGGGACACACTGCCCTTCCCGTGCATAGGACCCCAGGCTCCACTCCAGTCCCACCACAGCAGGAGCTCAGTGGGCACTGCCTGACTTGCTGAGATCTTTGAGTGAGTCTCACTTCCAAAGTTCCAAGCGAAGGGCTGGAACCTTGTTCATGTGACTCGTAATCGCCCCTCAGTGCATCCTTTACAAAGGGGACAGAAAAATTAAGCTGCCGTTTATTGGTAAGGAGCTGTGTGAACTCTTGACAGTGTCTTATTAACTCATTTACTATCCACAACCCTATGACGCACACACACGTATCCCCCTTTAGAAATCAGGAGGAAGAGGGCCCAGCTCTGTGGTGCAGTGAGTTAAGCCACTGCCTGCAGTGCCAGCATCCATACGAGCACTGCTTCCAGTACTGGCCACTCCACTTCTGAACCAGCTCCCTGCTAATGCGCCTGGGAGAGCAGCGGAGGATGGCCCAAGTGCTTGGGCCTCTGCACCCATCTGGGAGACTGGGATGAAGCTCCTGGCTTCGGCTGGGGCCAGGCCATTGGAGCCATCTGGGGAGTGAATTGGCAGATGGACGGTCTGTCTCTCCCTCTGAAATTCTTTCAAATAAATTTTAAAAATAATCAGGAGAGAGGGTCTGAGATTGAGTAACTGAGGGAAGGCTCGTGATCAGAGTGTTACCGCACCGTGTGCTGAGACAGCTGCTACCTGCGCACTCCCTGCCGAGACAGTCTACATTAAATTCTCCAAAACAGAACTTGCTCAATTCACTGCATCTGAAATCTATCCGTAGCCTCCATTCTGGATTTTCCTCCACTCAGTAGAGATATGGTTTTATTAGCTGCCAATCAATTCTCTTGCTGTAAAAGAGGAATTTAAAACTCTAACCACACTGGTGCTGTGGTATAGTGGGCTAAGCCTCCACCTGTGGCACAGGGATCCTATATGGATCCTGTTCAAGTCCTGGCTGCTCCACTTCAGATCCAGCTCTCTGCTATGGTCTAGGAAGGCAGTAGATGATGGCGGCTCAAGTGCTCGGGCCCCTGCATCCACATGGGAGACCTGGAAGAAGCTCCTGGCTCCTGGCTTCAGATTGGCTCAGCTCTGGCAGTTGTGTCCATCTGGGGAGTCAACCAGTGGATGGAAGACCTTTCTCTCTGTCTGTAACTCTACCTCTCAAATAAATAAATAAAAAACTTAAAAAAAAAAACTCTACCCACAATATAAGATCAACCTGCAAGCAAGCGGGTGCTGCAGCCGGGCCCCACAGGTGCTGCCGGGGAGCTGGCAGGGGCCAGCCTGGCCCTCCGAGAGCTCGCTGTCCACAGGGAGAGGAGAACACGTGGACCTAGTGACACAAGGCAAGAAACCAAAGTCCCACTTGAGGAAAAAGACACGAAGGACAAAAAAGGAGTTCAGAGGAAACCTGGACTTCCTGTTCCTCAACACAGATGCCTCCCACACAGGAGTGAGTGTCTAGGGTGGGCGGGGACAGTGTGGAGGAAGAAGGTACCAGGTGGTGACAGCGGACCCAGGCTCGCAGGGATGTGTGGAAGTGGGAGGCAAGTTTGGGACCAGGCGGGAAGCGGGGCTCCTGCGTGGGGGAGTCAGGCTCCTGAGCAGAGGGCCGGGGTCTCAGCAGGATCATCTTGCCAGTGCCAGGGTGGCAGCCCTGGGACTGGAAGGACATTGTAAGCAGAAGGGCTGTGCATAAGGAATCGCCGTGGTTGGGGCAACCATTGGGAGAGAGACTTCAGGGACTAAGCGGGGATCATCTGCCGCAGGAGCTTGTTCCAAGCCACCTGAAGATGAGGCCTCAGTGAGTAGAGACGGACAACCTGGGGAGGGGGCTGTAGGAGAGGCCACGTCCCAGCTCAGGACAAGGCCTCCTACAGAGGGCTGATGAGGCCAGGCTGGAAGAATCGTGGCCAGAGGGAGGGCAGAACTGGACATGGAGAAGGGAGCATGAACAAGAAAAAGAGTGGAAAGAGAATGGAACCAGCCTGCAGCCAGAGGAGGAGGAAAATCAGATACCAGACGGGAGGGGTCCCAACGAGCGGGTCGCTGCAGAAGCCAGGCGAGGGGAGAGTTCCCAGGAGGGACGGCCAGCAGCGCTAACAGCACAGGGAGCCGGCAGGAACAGTGCTGCCAGGAGCCAGGAAGAATGACTTCCACCCCGCAGCCCAGAGGCCAGGCAGTGGGGGAGGAGGTCAGCAGGGCAGCCCCAGGAAGGGTAGGCAGGTGGCAGCAGAGCCAAGGGGCACCAGTGAAGGTCAGCACAGGAAGAGGCGGCGCGAGGAGGGGCTCCATACGACAGCTGGCGGGAGAGGATGGGGACGGAGCAGGGGCACTGTCCTTGGAGGAGGCAGGGTCCCTCAGAGGGAGGCAGACGAGGTAGGAACAAAGGTTATTTCCCAAAGAAGGACAGCGAAAATATGGCAGTGTCCAATGGGGTCTGACCTCTCAGTTATGTATTCGGCCTTGTTGGCGCTAACCCTTGGTTCCGGTGGGTAGGTGGGTGTGTGCGCTCTGAGAGCGGTTGTCTGTGTGGTGTGTGTCTTCGCAGGAATGGCAGGACCATCTCCTAACCAGAACTTCTGGGCAGAAAATGAGGAGGAACAGAGCCTCAGGAGACTTCAGTCTACGGAGTGCCAGCTGGCCAGACGCTGTGCGCTACAAACTTCAGGCCCTGGGTCCTGCGTCCCTAGGTAGGCGTCAAGGCCACGGTCCTTCTGCAGCCAGCTGGGCGACAGTCACCACCTAAACAGGACAGGTGGGAACTAAGACCCACCCGCGTCTTGGAAGGGAGCTGCTCCTGGGGCAGGACTTGCACTCGGACGCTCGGACCCCTGCCTGGCGGTCTGCATCATGGAGACTCCTGGACACTGACGTCAGGCTGCTCATCTAACCCGGCCAGAACCAGCCTGACAGGGGGTTTTTGCAAGTTCTGTGGGTGGGCCCTGCAAGCAGCCAAGTGCAGAGATCATGCTTCCACCGTTTGGGAACGACAGTCCCAGCCCTGGAAACTGCCTGGCCTCTCAGACTCTCCCAGGCACGGCGGCTGAGTCTGCTAATCAAGCAAGGGCAGCTGCACAGGACTCGCTGCACAGAACAGCAGCCATCTCAGCAATGCCTCCTCTCGACCTGAAGTCAGGACCCCGGGCAGGGCAGGAAGAGCCGCGTCCAGCTCCAGCTGCCGCAAGGCAGTTACCCGAGGTCCACGGGGCCCGGCCACTCAGATTCCAGCAACTACAAAACGCACCACTACCCCAACACAGGGGACAGATACAGATTTGACAATTTTTATTACATAAAAGTTTTAAGAAAACAGTTATCTACTATTACTATTATTTCAGACCTATTTAACTCTCCAAATTTAGAAAACATTTCCAGCATAGGAAGGTCTTCAGACTGAATACACGGAGCTTTATGAGAGTCTCATTGCAACTCTTTTCCTCATTTTTGCCTCAAACTGGCGAAAACTTTGTCAAAGGATCAGCACTTTAGAACTATTCCACTAGATTAACTTCTAGCTCCATTCGTAAAACTGCCGTAGGTGACAGGATCCCTGCAGCTCTGGCAGTGGCTAACACTCGGATCCTACAAGCCTTAGGGTTTTAAAAGCTGTCCGACCCCGTGGTCCTCGCTATAGGAAGCAAGTCCTCGGGCAGGCGGGTCCCCAAACACGCAGGAAGCATGTCTTTCCCCGTGAGGGTGTTGTCAGTGGTTCCAGAAAGTGACCATTTTCAAATGACCCCACCAGCATACAGTCAAGGTCATCCGTGTGAGGAAACGGCTTACCTGGCTCGGGTCACCTAGGGAATCTTCTCAGATAACCATCTTTTCCACATAAAGAAGGCACTACATATCGATTTTACTTCTGAAATATTCATAACACCCCCTGGCATATCACACTACACAAATGATGAGGAGAGGACACAAAGCATCTGCGAAGGACGCAGGGCTTCCTGTTCACACACTGACAAGCCAGGTGCCGAGCCAAGCAGCCTCATCACGGACGCCCAGCCTTCCTGCGGACGAGGGTATTAGACAACCTCTGCTCCAAGGTTGCAGGTTTCCACAAAGGACCCAACAGTAACATGCCACACCTGGCCTCAAAGTGGCATCACGGCCACCATGATGCACACGACACCAGACCTGCGCCGAGGACCCCTGGAGACTGAAGCCATCCTCAGACAGCACAAGTTGAGGAGTTGCCAGTCTCCAGTTCACCCTCACGTTGGGTTCTTTTGTTTTGCTTTTTGAATCACAACCACGGAGTATTCAGTGGGCTCTGGTATCTGCGGGATGGTAACGCAATGCTAGGGGTACAAATGTCAGTTGTGTTTACCAGCATCTCCGCAGAGGAAGAGTGCCAGCCGGATATATCTGTGACCTTGTGTGACGCTGGCACGTGCATACTCTGGAGTTTTCAGTATGGAGGCTGCAAGCACAGGCCTGAAACTCTGCACATTTAATTTGTAAATGTTTACCTATTATTTTGATGATCAAAAATTAACCTGTGAGGCTGGTGCTGTGGCATATTGGTGGGGCCACAGCCCGTAGTGCCGGCATCCCATATGGGCGCTAGTTTGTGTCCTGGCTGCTCCACTTCCAATCTGGCTCTCTGCTGTGGTCTGGCAAAGCAATGGAAGATGGCCCAGGTCCTTGGGCCACTGCACCCATGTGGGAGACCGAGGAGGCTCCTGGATCCTGGCTTCGGATCGGCGCAGCTCCCGCCGTTGCAGCCAGTTGGGGAGTGAGCCAGCAGATGGAGGACCTCTCTTTCTGTGCCTCTCCTTCTGTGTAACTCTGACTTTCAAATAAATAAATAAATCTTTTAAAAAATTTGTAACGACTTAGAACTATCTGACCATTTTCTAACCAAGTGCTGCCACCAGATTCCAGTGCCAGCAGCCCTAGCGTGCACAGCCACACTGGCCCAAGTTGTAGGACTTCAATCCTCATGGCTGAGCCCTGCCCCTCAATCCACTGGGGGATGGTGAGAAAGGCAGCCTCTGACTCCCCCAGACCTACAGACTCAGCATCTGCATTCTGCCAGGTTCCCCTGGGACTCCCACACACATTGCAGCGTGAGCAGCACTGAGCTGGAGAGAACAGAACAGAGTGGGCCCGGCATGGAAATAATCCCGTCACACCCAGTAGAGGCCAAACAACAGCACAACGCACTGTACAAACATCCAAAGTAGCTCAAGTTCAACGAAGCACTGGCGGGGTCAGTCACCCTGGACACCCAGAGGCCCCGGTAGGCTGGAAAACAAGGAACCTGCACTGAAGCAGTCTTGCCATGGTGCCAGGACAAGCATGATACTCTCAGACCAAACAAAATCACCGACAGGTTCAGAATCTACTACTGCTTTGCAGATTTGTTTTGTTGAAGTTGTCTATGGGAGTTCCAAGCAAAACGAGCTTATCCCTAGAATTTTATATTTATGCATATTTAAATAGTATAATTTTTAAAAACAGACTTAGCATCAGGTGTCCCAAAAAGTATTCTTTAAAATGGGTCTATTATCTGTCCTTGACTCGAGATGGAGGAGTCGTTATCACACCGGGACACACAGAACTGCAGTTCCAAAGTCCGTGAGGAGGTCTGGCGCATCGGAGGCTTAGAGCATCATCAAGGCCGCACAGACAGACACCAGCCGCCGCCTCCCTCAAAGAACAGCTCCCCGCTAGAGAGCTTCAGAACCCACATCAGAAGCTCTGAACAGCAGGGTGGGTGGGGCAGTTGGAGAAAGAAAGAACATTAATCTGACCCATGATCATTAAGAAAAATTAACTCCTGGGGAAAAATGTATTCCTTTCTATTACACAATTGGCGAAGAAAACAACTGTTCCCTTCATTTTTCTATTGTTCTATATATTTACTAAAATCATGATTTGGTTCTGTGCTGTGGAAAACAATCATACTGTTTCTCTTACTTGTTTAGACATTTTGTTCCCAAAGGACCAACAGATCCTTTATTACAAAATGCCAACTGTATGCAAGCAAGGTGATCTCTTACTTCTTGCTGTCTTTATTAGGAAAACAGTTTATAATAATCGTAATTATTGTACAGTGCTATTTTTAACTGATATTCTTGCAAAAATTTTCCACTTTTTTTTTTTTTTTTTGACAGGCAGAGTGGACAGTGAGAGAGAGAGACAGAGAGAAAGGTCTTCCTTTTTGCCATTGGTTCACCCTCCAATGGCCGCCGCGGCCGGTGCGCTGCGGCCGGCGCACCGCGCTGATCCGATGGCAGGAGCCAGGAGCCAGGTGCTTTTCCTGGTCTCCCATGGGGTGCAGGGCCCAAGCACCTGGGCCATCCTCCACTGCACTCCCTGGCCACAGCAGAGAGCTGGCCTGGAAGAGGGGCAACCGGGACAGAATCCGGCGCCCCGACCGGGACTAGAACCCGGTGTGCCGGCGCCGCTAGGCGGAGGATTAGCCTAGTGAGCCGCGGCGCCGGCCTCCACTTCTTTAATTACTATATAATCTCTCACTATCACATCTTTATTTGATTAGCAATTAAAAAATGAACTATTTCTACATTATCATGAATAGATTTCCTATAAATTAAGTTGCTTAGAAAGCTGTATAAAATAAGTTTCTTCAGATAGGAGACTTTTAGTTTAAGGATAGAATAGACTGCAACACTTTTTTTGTCCAGTAGTTTAAGTTTTGTTTTCTAAAATCAAGAATGGATGCTTAATTTTGTCAAAGGCCTTTCTGACATCTACTAAAGAAGCATAAATTTTTTTTAAAGATTTTATTTATTTGAAAGTCAGAGTTACACAGAGAGAGGAGAGGCAGAGAGAGAAGTCTTCCATCTGATGGTTCACCCCCACAACTGACCACAACGGCCGGAGCTGTGCCAATCCGAAGCTAGGAGCCAGGAGCTTCCCCCGGGTCTCCCATGTGGGTACAGGGGCCCAAGGACTCGGGTCATCCTCCACCGCTTTCCCAGGCCACAGCAGAGAGCTGGATTGGAAGTGGAGCAGCCGGGTCTCGAACTGGCGCACATATGGGATGCCAGCGCTTCAGGCCAGGGCGTTAACCCACTGCACCACAGCACCAGCCCCAAAAGAAGCATAAAGATTTTTAAAAGCTACTTTCCTAACTAATGTGGTATAGTTTGGTTTTGTTGTGTAATAGTAAATTAGTCCTGCATTCCTTAAAAAAAAAAAAAAATGACTCTCTGGAGACTGTTGCTCTCTGCTACCTGGGCCATGCCATGCTGAATTTCCAGGCACATTAGCAGGAAGCTGGATTGGAAGCAGAGCAGTTGGGACCGAACTGGCCTGCATCCTATTAGCACTGGGCAACCCAAGTGGCATCTTAACCCTACTGTACTGCCAACCCCTAACACTGTCCCTATTGATTCCGTGACACTTTTTAGCTAAAAATATACCTTTTCAGATGAAATGACGTTTTAGTCTTTTTATGCATATGTAAAAGAGCAACTTACCAAATGGTCTTTTGGCAAAATTTACTTTAGTAATTTACTTTGAATAAATTAGACTTTATGTCATCTAGGGCTCAGCCTTGAAAAGCATGTGTATCTCTATAATAATATTCCCAACATAGTTACTTCAGAGCTTTTTCCAGTCTGCAGAAGAGGGTGCCACACTTGTTAGTGCTGCTTCCTTCTGCCTCACTGCTCTCGAAGTACAGCGGAGAGGTCCATTGCCTGCCTCGGGGTTCCAAGGCTGGAGCAGCGACAGCTTACTTCGTAAATGAGGATAGCTGTGTGGGACTGACTGAGCAGGCATTCCGCTTAGCTATTCTGGGTACCTCAGGTAACTGGCTAGTCTATAAGAACATGATTTTCACCAAACCCTACAGTTCACTTATTTTTAAAATATGCATGTATCTGTTTGAAAGGCAGAGTGACAGAGACACATTTCCCATCTACCGGCTCACTCCCTAAATGGCCACAACTGGGGCTGGGCCAGGTTGAATCCAAGAGCCAAGAACTCCATCCTAGTTCCCACTACTAGTTCCAGCAACTCCTGCTAATTGCCTGGGAAGCGGCAAATGACGGCTCAAGTACACAGTCACCTGCCACCCACCAAGTGGGAGATCTGGATACAATTTCTAGCTTCTGTCTTTAGCCCTGCCCAGCCCTGGTTGTTGAAGGTATTTGGGTGGGGGTGGGGGGGACCAGCTGACTAAAGATTGCTCTCCTCACCCCATCCCCTGCTTTTTTTTAATATTTACTTTTTATTTGTTTGGCAGAGTGAGAGCGAGCGAGCGAGCAAGAGTGAGAGTGAGAGCAGTACTTTCCATCTGCTGGTTCACTCCCCGGATGGTTACAACTGCTGGGGCTGGGCCAGGATGAAGCCAGGAACCAGGGCTTCCTCTGGTTTTCTTACATGGGTATGGGGGCCCAAGCACTTGTGCCATCCTCTCATTTTCCCAGGCACATTAGCAGGGAGCTGGATCAGAAGTGGAGCAGCCACAACTTGCACCAGCACCTACACAGGATGCCAGCATTGCAGGCAGTGGCTTAACCTGCCACAACACCAGCCCTGCTCCCCCTTTCAAGTAGATCAAAAAAAAAAAAAAAAAAAATATATATATATATATATATATATGGCTAACTGTATAAAAACTGACAGCCCCATTGTTTCTAATAGTATTACTGAAACAATGTCAATCCCCAAAATTCTCAATAGCAGCTTTTCATACAATGCAGACTTAAGGAATAGTCACATTGAGCTTTTATGAGTGGCATAAACATTTTGTCTCCTTCTTGTGGTAAATAAATTCCCTACATGCCCTCAAGAGTTTTGAGCTTGTGTATTCCCAGTGGAAAACAACTGAGTATGCCTAAAGTTAGTGGAAGAACCAGAGTGCAGACTTAATAAACCTGCCAACACAAGTTTCCAGGACAGAGGGCAGGAAAGTGGCCCATACCAGGTAATCCAGGGCCATTTCTCTCCTCACTCTTGCTTCCAGACTCCACAACAGTACTCAAACAGGTCACACAGGGCACAACACCTCCCAGAATTTGACAAGATGTATTTTCAAATAAAATGAACCTTCTGCAATCATTTAGGTAACAGGGTTTCTGCTAAACTTTTAGAGACTACAGTGTTAGTTTTCCTCTGATAATGGTTATCTCCAATTAATAGCTAGGAATTAAGCAAGGAATCTGAGAAAGTTTAAGGGGCTAATAATAATGCTTCTACTGAAATAAACCCAGGAGGCCAGAGTTGTAGTGTTGTAGGTTAACCCACTGTGATGCTAGCATTCCATATGGAGTGCCTGTTTGAGTCCCAGCTGCTCTGCTTCCGATCCAGCTTCCTACTAGGGTACCTGGGAAAGTAGTGGAAGATGGCCCAAGTGCTTGGGTCTCCGCCACTCATGTGGGAGACCTGGATAGAGCTGCTGGCTTTGGCCTGGCTCAGCTCTGGCTATTGTAGCCATTTGGGGGAGTGAACCAGATGAAACACCTCTGTCTTTCCTTCTCTGTATTTCTGCCTTTCAAATAAATAAATCTTAAAAAGAAAAGAAACTCAGATTTCCTACAAAGCAATTCTCCAATAAAGAGGTTTAGGAAGGAAAACAAACAAGCAAGCAAACAAAAAAACGCCAGCATTTTATTCACTGGAATCAGCATCTAGATTGCCAAGGCAGGAAGTGCGCTGCTGAAGAGACGGTAGAGCCCCTGGGGAGGGGACTGAGAGAACTGAACTCCCCAGCTCCTACACTGACTGAGGTTACAGTGAGGCTGTAATACTTTTTTATCAGCTCCTCTGTAAAATAGGGTCCGCTTAATCGCCAGTAGTGATCACAACCACAAATGGGCAATTCTGGTGGTGCTAATGGAAAGGAGGGAAGATTTCTCTGGGAAGCTGCAGAAGACCAAGTCCTGATGGGGTGTGGGAGAAAAGAGAAGATGACAGAGAGAGGACCCAAGGCATCTGTGACACATTTCCAATGCCTACCACGCCCTGACACACACAAGCACTTTCCCAAGCTCTAACAAGAGAATCCACTCTTCCTCATCTGACACGATGGCTTTCAGAATTGGAAATCGGAGTACGGAATGGCACTGCTTTATCTGGGAATGGTTTCACAGCATGGAGAGAGGGAGATGAAATTCTCCCTGTCGAGGGTACCGCCAGACAGAATGAAATATGGAGATGGGTGTCAGGGCCCAGCAAGTTCAGCTGCCTCTTGGCAAGACCAGACCCCGCACTAGAGGGCCAGCTTGAGTCCCAGCTACTCCACTTCCGATCCAGCTTCCTGCTAAGGTGCCTGGGAAGGCAGCGAACAAGGGCTCAAGTACTTGGGTTCCTGCCACCCACATGGGAGATACAGAGTGAGTTCTGAGCTCCTAGATATGGCCCGGCCCAGTGCCAGCCGTTGCAGGCATCTGAAGAGTGAACTGGCAGATGGAGGAGGTTGGTGTCTGTCTCTGTCTCTATCTCCCGCCCTCTCTCTACCACTCTTTCAAAGAAACAGAATGAGGTACACAAAGCTGGACACCACTCAATGACACCAAGCCCTCTGGGAACCGCAGAGACGGGCACTCAAGCGAAGCACAGGAGACCGAACGGTTGGGCTGACCTGCAGAATGAGCACGAAGTAGTCGACAGGCTTGTTGCGCTGGTAGAGGTAGTATTCCGGGGCTTTCTTGTTCTTCTCATCGAACTTCAGTTCCTGGATGACATTGGGGTGCTTTAGCAGCCTTAGGAGGATCTTCTCTGACATCTGGGATGGGCTAAATGCTTCTACTTCTATAGATATAAACACAACTGGACATTACACTTCAGATGGATGCAAAAATTATACTAGCAATTAAGGTGTTCAGATAAGAATACTTGAAGTCAAAGCACCACAATACGGATGAACAAAACTTCCGTTTGGTGATCCATGGGGCGGGGCAGATTACCTGGAATTGGAAAATTCTGAATTCTCATATTTGTTCCTTTTTAATCTGTCCTTAATCTGTCATTGATTTTAGTTCTGTTACAAATATCCTGTTCTTCTGACTGAGAGAAATGAAAATCAAACAGATGCTCCCTGAGTGCCAGGATGCCCTCAACAAGCCACAACAGTCTGACCATCAGGTGACAGCCAAAGGAAGAAGCCAGGGTCAGGAGGCACTGAGGTGTGGGTTAGTACCAGGTGCACAGGCACGGGTGCGCCGCTGCCCCCTCTCCCACACAGCTACTCCCAGAAACTCTGGGGACAAGGCGGGGAGAGGGTCAGAATAAAAGCAAGGCACGTGCACACATCCACATGCACTCCCACTTGCTAATTTAAAAACAAGTAATGTTGATCAGTATTTACAAAGACAGCAATTTTATTTAAAACCACAAAACCAAAATTACTGACTTCAGGGTACTCTCCTGAAAGCAGACTTCATGGTATCTCAGAGGCTGAGTAGGCAACGTTTAGTTTTCATTTGTGGTTCTTAAACGATGAGGAACAACATCAGAATTAAAAAAATAATAAGCAAGTTAAAGATTTTTTAAATTTTAAAGTTGTACCTGAAGGCTATCAATTCTGCACTAGCTTCTGTGACTTTCTGTAATAAAATAAGTAGTATATCACAAAATTTTTGGAAAACACAGAAAGAAGAAAATTTAAAAATTACCTATGAACCAACCCCTTAGGTAACGATTTTAAGCAATCTTGTAAGCATCACTTTCCAGTGCCTTGCCTAGGGGTATAAGTGTGTATGTGTGTTCACAAAAACACAACTATAATCTCAACACAGTTCTCTATCCTGTGTTCTCCCAGTTTGTATTACACAGTGACTATTGACCATGTCCCAGATATCATATCCTGAGCATTTCCATGTATCAGAAACCTGGTTTTCAAGAGTCTACAATTCTGGCACGTGTTTGCTCTTGGCCTTCTTGCCACAGAATCCTAAGTGTGTAGCACGCAGCCGAGTGGCACTGGCTGCCCACCCTGAGCACAGGCGTCTTCTGCAAGCCAGCTGGTGCTTCCAAACTTCCTCACTCTCCCCTGGCCAACAGAGCCACATGGCGATGTGAGAAGGGGGCCGAGTCTCTTATGTCCATTCAACCTTGACCTCTCTGGAGCAGTCAGTGCGGCTGGGCTGGTGGTTTGACTACTGGGAACGCGTGCCTCTTGGAACAGGCCCAGGTAATCGGATTTGAAGAGGCCACCAACAAAATCCATGTCACAGTTCTTGGAGTTTCTGATTTCATCAAAACAATGAAAGGTAGATTTCTGAAAGTCATTTTTTCTTCTTTGCAAATCTTAGCACCTGTGTTACCACTGGTGTGCAGCTGTTCTTCCAAGCCAGTGGGATACAGAGCTCCTCGGCTGTCCAATCATACGAGGCGGTGTCTGGCTGGCACAGTGAGCCCACTAGGCCAGCTGGCCCTCCCCTGGGCGTGGCTGGAAGGAGATGACCTGGCCTACTGGACACATGCAGTGTGGCACTAACATTCATCCTTACCTTTCAGACCAATTTTAAGTTACTGGTCCACCCCTGGTAAATGTCTCAGAGGGTTCATGCCGACACTGAACACAGGAGAGGAGAGAATTTAAAAAGAAAAAAACAAACAAACAAAAAAAAAACAACAAAAAACAAGAAACAAAACACAAAAGTGGCATTACTCATCACCCATTTCCCGGCGCCCACCCCAGCCCGCCCGGTCACAAGCGGTGAGAAGCTCGCTCCAGGGCTGGAGTGATTCCGAGCTGCGATAAAGCCACACTTGCCTGTCGCTAGGAAACGGTGCATGGCCAGGAGGAGCTGTGGTGATATTTTAACCTTCATCTCGCTGTCTGTCTGCTTAAAGGCAGAAAAATCTTGCTTCCTTTCACGGTGGGCCACTTTCTTTTTCGTTCTGTTATCAGCTGAGGGAGAATGGAAAAAGAAACAAATAAACACACCCCATTAGATCAGGGCTCTTTTCAAATAAAAAGGAAAACGAGGAGTGGGAAGGCCAGGCTCTCTCTCCAGATGTGGGGATACTACAAACTGGCAAAGGAATGGGGGAGGGATACCTCATCACATCAGCACAGGGCCTGATTAGTAAATCTAACACCTGAAGGTCTTTTGCGACCTTCAATGAGAACATCACTGGGCAGACTTGGGCCGAAGCCTCCCACTCATAGAATCCACAGAACCACAAGGTAGCACGGCGAGCTTGTACATTGTCTCCAGCAACTCAGTGTCGCCACACTCCAGCAGAGACCCACCACTGGGGGTCACACACGTGGGACGTCTGCCCTGCCTTCAGGAGGCCCCTAGCTCAGCAGGCAGAAAACAAGGCCATGAACAAAATCCCTCAAGAAACAAGAACGCATCAATGGAACGGTATCTTATAATCTGTTTTATTTCTACCCCAGCACTTGAGATCCTCAAGGTAAGGCGCAGGAGGAGGAGGTGGGAGCAGGTGTTCAGCCTGGTGGTTAAGATGCTGCTCACACCCACCTCAGGGTACGTGGGTTCCATTCCTAGCTCTGGTTCCTGACTCCTGCTCTCTGCTACCGCAGAGCCCGGGAGGCAGTGGGAATGGCTCAAGGGACTGGGTTCCCACCACCCCAGTGGGAGACCGGGACTGAGTTCCCAGCTCCCAGCAGCTCTTCTGCTGTGGTCATTATGGGTTTGTGGGGAACAAAGCAGTGGATGACAGCTAGTGCTCTCTCTCTGCCTCTCAAAAAAATGTTTAAAGATATTTTAAACATATCTTTGTATACAGCCCAGTTCTGCAGAGGCCACAGAGTAGATATTTTGGGCCCCAAGGGTCACACAGTCTGTGGCAGCTATTCCACACGGCTGAACACGAGCAGCCACGCGTAAATGAATGAGCATGGCTGGGTTCCAACAGAGTATTTACAGAAGCTAAAACTTGAATTTCCTAAAATTCTTGCATGTCACAAAGTAATTTTACTTTTTTTGAGTATTTTTCAACATTTTAAAAATGCATAAAACCATTCTTAGCTTGCAGGCCATGCATGAAGGTACTCAAGGCTACAGTTTGCCAGCCTGCATCTAGAAGGTATTCCAGGCAAAAACAAACAAATCAACAGACAAAAGACACTTTCAAGTACTTTTCTGGACAAAGCAATGACTTAAAAAACTAGCTTAAGGCCAAGACTCCAGTCACTTGCTCCTCCGCCTAGAATCATGAATCACTGTGCTATCATTTCCTGTCTAGAGCAAAACAGATTGATTAGGAGACTTTTCAGGGGAGAGGCAACCACAACTTATACTGCTCTTCTGTCTCAGATTCATCTGTGAACCAGACAATGTGACTCCATAGAAAACTCAGAAATAATCTTCCAGTGGCTGCGGCTGCCTCGGCCCAGAACCCCTATCTGGCCAAGGGTCCCTGGAACCACAAGCTGGGCTTCCTGCACAGGAAGTCACGGCAGCAGGCAGTCATCCCCATCCATCCGACCCAGAAGCTATGCTGGCATCTCCACGAGCTCTCGGCTCCCGCCCACGTGGTGTAGATGGGCACGCTCCTCGGGGGCATAATCGGACACACTCCTGGCACGGAAGGATGAAAGAGGCCAACACACAGGTAACAACACTTTCCATCACAAGACACTGAGAGATGTTTTCTAAGAACGCTGTACAGATGTGAGGAAGAACCAGGATGCATTTTCAGAGGACAGACATTAGCTAAACATAAAACATTCTTTCAAGGGTACATGGAGGGGCCGGCGCTGTGGCTCAGAGGGTTAACCCCCTGGCCTGAAGCACTGGCATCCCATATGGACACCTGTTCTAAACCCGGCTGCTCCACCTCCAAACCAGCTGTCTGCTGTGGCCTGGGAAAGCAGTAGAAGATGGCCCAAGTCCTTGGGCCCCTGCACCCGCATGGGAGACCCAGAAGAAGCTCCTGGCTCCTGGCTTTTGATCAGCACAGCTCCAGCCGTTGCAGCCAATTGGGGAGTGAACCAGTGGATGGAAGCCCCCCCCCCCTGCCTCTCCTCTCTATATAAATCTTTCAAATAAATAAATAAATCTTTAAAATAAACAGAAAATAAGGGTACATGGAAGACTTTCTCAAATTTAAAAATGAGGGGCACTCCCTCCTAGACTGAATAAAATTGCTCTGCTTTGGGCAAGGCAGGTGTTGTCCCAAGGATCTCAGTCCGCTTCTGCCTCCAAGCCATGTTTCAAAGCTAGGCAGGATCCACAGGGCCCAGATATTCTTTTACATTCAGAAGCTCCCAACAGCCCAGGCCTTGGACCACCTCTGGCCTCATGATCCTCCTAAAAGTGTCTCAAAACGCCAAGAGTGAGCTGAGGGGAGAAGTGGTAGGCCCAGGATCAAGCGGACCCATGGTGAACAAAGGTTTGGATACTCACTCCTACCTGCCCTGACTCGAGCCACTCTTCACCCCCACCTTCCCAGAAGAAGGCAGAGAAGCAGAGAACAGAAAAATCAATTATTACTGTGTACCCTGCCCCGTTCTGCCTCCAATACCTCCAGCCCACCATAACCACCCTAGCAAACTACATTGGCAAACCTCACCTCCACCCTTGACCCATGCATTCTAGAACAAGAAAATTTAAAGTTGTTATCCATCAATTTAACAAATCCCATTCGGTTTCTAAACACTTGAATTATGAACTTAAGTAGAAACAGAAATTTATCTGCAAAAAATTTACCAATTGTACAAAGTGAAAATGTAGTCGAGATGATTATCTTGCACGTCTAAGACAAACTGAAAAACCAAGAGGAGAGGTTTCTGCTCAGGGCAAGTTATGCCGGATCACTGGTGAGCAGCATCTGGCTTCTCCAAAGGACGCTGCCCCTTGACAAAGATTCTCCTGTTCTTTCTCCTCCATAAAGGCACTGAGATAGGCTGACAGGTTGTACACAGCCCCTCCATGATGGGAGAAATGTCAGATAACTCACCCAAGAAAGCCAAGATTGCAAGACACCACACCCAGGCGCCACTACTCACTGTATAGATCTGTTTCGTCCAGGATCTCAGATTTGATGATTTCCTCAATCACATCTTCTAACGTGACGATTCCCAGAACTTCATAAAACGGATCCCCTTCTCCCTCGTTGTTTACTCGTTGTACAATAGCCAGGTGGGATTTACCTTTAGAGAAGAGAGAAAGTTTAAGAGGTAATTTTCTGCATTTCCTGAATGACATCTCATAGGATTATGCCAACAACAGCACCAAACCCAAGTCTGTATTTCAGCACTTAAACAGTATGCAAATATCACTACTGGAAAATCTGCAGGAGCTCTTAAGAACACAAAAGCTAAGCTAGAAGATGCCCTCTGCCCCAACACCATACCTTTCAGCAACATTCACGTCACTGTTGGGGAGCAGCTCTAAATGTGGTCTGTGGGCCCCTAGAGGTCCCCAGATCCTTTTGGGAGGTCACTTTCTTAAAAATATGAGAATTTCACCATGAAATGGTGGTACGTGGGCACCTTAACACTGAGGGGGCAGTGGGAGTGGCCACCCTTCCCCACCAGCACACTCAGACTAAGAGGGGCAATCAGACACTCTTGAGAATGTCTTTGATGAAGCAAAAAAATAAAAATAAAAAAGTTGCGGCCGGCGCCGCGGCTCACTAGGCTAACCCTCCGCCTTGCGGCGCCGGCACACCGGGTTCTAGTCCCGGTCGGGGTGCTGGATTCTGTCCCGGTTGCCCCTCTTCCAGGCCAGCTCTCTGCTGTGGCCAGGGAGTGCAGTGGAGGATGGCCCAGGTGCTTGGGCCCTGCACCCCATGGGAGACCAGGAGAAGCACCTGGCTCCTGCTACCGGATCAGCACGATGCACCAGCTGCAGCGCACCAGCCGCGGCGGCCATTGGAGGGTGAACCAATGGCAAAAGGAAGACCTTTCTCTCTCTCTCTCTCACTGTCCACTCTGCCTGTCAAAAAATAAAAAAATAATAAAAATAAAAATAAAGTTTCTAATTTCACTAAATCATAATCCTGAGCATGTCTTGTGGAAGCTGCCTCCCACACTTGTCCTGCCTGCGATGGTGTTTCCAAGAATGGCCCTGTGCGACTAGGCTGCGGGCTGGACCCGCCGCTATTTTTATTGAATGTCATTTTTGCTTCGAAGAATTATTATCAAAATATGGTTATTTGTACTCCTGTAGTTGGCAGATAATTTCATGAAAGTGAACAAAACAAGCCTGTCATATCAAGAAGAAAAAAGGTGGTATTTTGCTGCCAATGATAAAGTTTAAGCTTTTCATGGAAAGCAAGAATTTTGGAAAATGGTATCCCTCTATCATTAGCTTGAAAGCTTCAACAGTTATTTCCTCTCAAGACAGGTGCTAACAAATGTAACTTTAAATACTGAATAATTCAATGTGTCACCATTGAGTATCTGTGCAAATCAGCAAACCAGTACTTTCCAAATGACTATCAAATGATGTTACAAAATCATGCATGGGGGAAACAATCCAGTGGGAATTTAAGACACAACAATGGAGGGTTAGTTAGAGAAGAGAGAGAGAGAGATCTTCCATGTGCTGGTTCACCCCCCAGATGGCCGCCAACAACATGGGCCAGGCCAGGCTGAAGCCAGGAGCCAAGAGTTTCTGCCAGGTTTCTGACATGAGTGCAGGGGCCCAGGTACTTGGGCCACCTTTTGCCGCTTTCCCAGATGTATTAGCAGGGAGCTGGATTGGAAGTGGAGCAGCCAGTGGTAGCTCTGGGATCCGCAAGGAGAGAAGGCCTATACTTCCGGGAATGGAGAGTCCCTACCCGCACTTCTGGGGAAGAACAATCCTTGTCCCCACCGGTGCCTAAAGGTCAACCAAGGAGGATCAGACCTGTCTCAACCTTTAACCCCAACGCCCTGTATCTATAAAAGGAGCCCTCCCAACCTCTGAAGCAGGACTCCCACCCCCACCCCCACCCCCTTTGGGACCGGAGAACCTCACCCAGAGCAGAATCCCAATAAAAGCTTGTGAATTAATTGACTCATCTGCCAGGGAAGATTTGTTATGTGCTGGACACCTTGCAGCCAGGGCTCTAGCTGTGCCCACACAGGATATCGGCACTGCAGGCAGCAACTTAAGCTGCTGCGCCACAGTACAAGCCAACAATGGAGTTTTTAAAAACTAAACTCATGGGATTGGTGTTGTGGTATATGAGGTTAAGCCATCGCCTGTGACACCAGCATCCTATATGGGCATCTGTTGGAGTCCTGCTCAACTTCTGGTACAGCTCCCTGTTAATGCAACTGAAAAAGCAGCAAAAAATAGCCCAAGTGTTTTGGTTCCTACACTCATGTGGGAGACCTGGAAGAAGCTCCTGGCTTTAGGCTGGCCCAGTCCTGGCCATTGTGGTCATTTGGGGAGTAAACCAGCAGATGGAAGATCCCTCGCTCTGTCCTTCCTTCTCTTCCTATAACTCAACCTTTCAATAAGTCAATATACCTTGGGGGGCGGGGCACACCACTAAACTTAGGGGCCAGCAATGTGGTACAGAGTGTTAAGCAACCACCTGCTAACCTGGCATCCCATATCAGAGTGCCTGTTTGAGTCTCAGCTGCTCTGCTTCTGATCCAGCTTCCTGTTAATGCATCTGAGAAAATGGTGGAAGATGGCTCAAGTACTTGGGCACCAACCATGCAAGTGGGAGTCCAGTATGGAATTCCAGTTTCCTAGCTTCAACCTGACTCCCACACCTGGTTATTACTGCAGCCATTCAGGGAATGAACCAGTAGATAAAAGATCCCTTTATCTTTCTTCCCCCCTTTCTCTCTCTCTCTGTTGCTCTGCTTTTCACAATTTAAAAAAAAAAAATAAAGCTCATTTATATTTTGAATAATTTTGATTTACAGAGAGTTGCAAAGATGTTACAGAGTTCCGATGTAGCTTTCACCTAGTTTCCTCTAGTAACATCACACATTACCGTGATATATTTGTCAACACTAAGAGATTGGCTATGAGACATTAATATTAAATAAACTCCAAGTATTAATTTGAGTTTCTCCGACTTGTCCATTAATGTCCTGTCTTATCATCCAATCCTGAGCACTACACCACATTTAGGTGTCATGTCTGTGCTCTGTGATGGTTTCTGTCTTGGTTTCTCATGATGCTGACAATCTTAGCTGTAATGGTCAGGTTGCCTGTGAAGTAGCTTCTGGTTTTGTTCTGTCTGCTCTCTTTCTCACGACTTGCCTAGAGTGGTGGCTTTTCCAGTTCCATCACATCAGGGGTTCTGTGACACTTGTGTGAGGTCATGGATGATGTTCACCCTTATAGCTTGATGAACGGAGTGGCAGCTCCCAGGTTTCGCCACCATAAAGACATTCATTTTTCCCTTCCTCTAATTCTACTCTTCAGAACAAGTCACCTAAGTCTAGCACACCCCCAAGGGAGGGATGGGGGTAAAGACTAAACTCTACTTTCTGGAGTCTGAGGACATCTACAGGTATTATTCAAAGGGGGAAGCATCTACATGTATTAGTCAGAATTCTTCTGCAAAGAAATTCAGACCAAAACAATGTAATTTAATTTAACAGTACCCACAGACCCCTGGTATAGTGCAGATCCTGCACTGCAACTGACCTTTGCGAAACCACCACTTAAGGGGGTTCTAATAGAACATCAACTGTCCAAAAAGGCTACTAAAACAGTCTTCCTTCTTCCAAAGACATATCTGCCTTAGGCCCAGTTGTCTTCACATCCTTCAACTAAAACAGTATTATCCAGGTTGGATGTAGAAGAAGGTATGAGATTCCAGCTGCTTTTCATTTAGCTAGATAACAGATATGCAGGAAGGTAAACAGTGACACTCTTCCTACTGTGTCTGTTTTGGAAAATACAGTTATTTTTACTTAAAATGTTATTTATGCCAACATGTAATGGATTTATTTCTAGCCTTTAAAAATAAGTAATTATGTTTTAAATCTTGTTTGTGGTGTTTTTTTTTTTTTTTTTTTTTTTTTTGGACAGGCAGAGTGGATAGTGAGAGAGTGAGACAGAGAGAAAGGTCTTCCTTTGCCGTTGGGTCACCCTCCAATGGCCGCCACGGCCGGCGCACCGCGCTGATCCGAAGCCAGGAGCCAGGTGCTTCTCCTGGTCTCCCATGGGGTGCAGGACCCAAGCACTTGGGCCATCCTCCACTGCACTCCCTGGCCACAGCAGAGAGCTGGCCTGGAAGATGGGCAACCAGGACAGAATCCGGCACCCCGACCGGGACTAGAACCCGGTGGCCGGCGCTGCAGGCGGAGGATTAGCCTAGTGAGCCATGGCACCGGCCTTTAAATCTTGAGTTTTAATTCAAATACAATAAATACCAAAGATATAATCCACATAAACAAAAAAAATCAAGGGTCCTCAACAGTTGTTAAGAGTTTAAAGGGATCCTGAGACAAAGCTTAGAAACTCTGCTTTAGCAGGCAGGCAGAGGCCAGGGGAAGAACGTGCGCTCTGAAGCACCAGTCTCGGATCTGTGCCCCGGCACTGTCATCCCTGTCGCTGCTGGCCAGATGACTACGATGAGCAAGCCACGAACCTCTTCTGAGCTCTACCTGTCTCTAAAACCAGGCTCACAACACAGGCGTAGAGTGAAGATGGGAGACACGGCTGAGACCTAGCAAAGATGGTACCTGGAATCCACTGGGTGATCACCAAGTGGTCACTCTTATTTCATTAATACTTCTCTTCAATTCTAAGGCACCATCAATTCATTACCAACTTAGCTGAAGAGAAAATAAGTGTGCTACATTAAATATAAACCATGAGTAAAAGATACATTTCAATTTCAATGCAAGCTTTTAAAGCACTAAATGCATTTCTCAAACACCAATATTGGTTTTCCCAATCCAAGGCTTATGAAGCATCTAAAACACTTATCTAAAGTTAAGCCAAAGTAGACATGGTCTGGTAACTTCCCCATCAGTTAGCATTTATACTGTTTTTTAAATAACATGGTAGCTTTGTGGGAGGGGGCAGGGGAGGGGGAGGAGGTGCATTTAAAATAAGGTTAACACTTTAAGCTAGGTGAACACACGCAGCCAGCCAAACTGAAAAACACTCTGAATACCAAGTCTGATCAAGTTCCCAGTGCCAACTAAGAAAGTGACTTTTGTTCTGCAGGTTTTTCAGCCCCTGG